GCTCAAGCCCCTCCCCCGATAATGCAAAAGAACCTTTTTATTCCATCCCACTACACTCACCACATCGCCTTCGGAGACGCAAATTCTCTGCGGGAAGATGAAGGCCGAAATGTTGCAGCCGGCCGACCGCGACTCGTACCGATCCACCTTCCACCAATAGACCACACCATCACAGATACCGCTAGACGTGACCGGGACTCTGTAATTTGCTTTATAAAATAGTTCTTAATCTAGCGACGGTAATCCATCCATCCGAAATTCTTGCGGATCATCTTTTCGATCAAATTTTATATCAGAAGATCGTTCAAACATCCCACCTTGTCGTCAGTGTTCTATTCAGCAGCACCGGCTCGGACGCAATCGTTGTATCCAACGCCGAGTCCATCGAAAAGGGCATCAACTCGAAATTGGCGGACATCTAGAAAAATATAATGCCCTTTTATAACAACAACTTACGGCAGTGTGCGGGAAGTTAGCGGTCGCAATGTCGCGGTACTCGAATAATGAGAAGGGCGCGATCGGGCTCAAGTCGAATCCGAGGTGGCTTGAGGGGTCTAAGCGTCATAGTGATGCTATATAGAAAAACTTACTCGGCCGACTCCTGTTGTGCAAAAAATCGGAAAACACGAGCTGGCCGACGGCGAGGAATTGTCCAGGGAATACTGTAGCATCCATCGAATAGTGCTGGAATTAACGAATTAGTTCGCATAAAGGTAATAATAGCATAATGATTGTTTCATTTTTTAAATGACGAACCCTTGCTGTCGCCACCCAGTCGAGAGAATTTTTGCATAAGGTCCCATCGAGCCGGAATGGCCAATGGAGAATGAGATCCTGTTCGCCTGAAAAAAAAACTATTTGAAATCTCCAAAAAACCCAAACCTTGTAAGGGAGCAATCATCACATCCGCTTCTGTTTTGAGCATCACCAGATTTAAAAGGGATAGATCCGGCTGGCATATGGACAGTTTTGCAGAAGGTCTTTCTGTCGCTATCCTAAAAAAAGCACGACTGATCTTGTGATCGTACGAGTTTCGGCCCAATGGATTTCAGTGCAATCTGAAAACCTAATTCCTTACCTGTAAGACACGGCGACGCAAGCTGTCAAATCGTGTACCCGACACGGTGTCTGCTCCGGGATTTGGGCAAGCAGGAGCCTGACCAGAAATTAGGATCAGGTCCCGAAAAGCCTACTCTTGTGCTGCCTTGTCATGCAGATGGAGCACCTCGCCGTTGCTTTGGGTGAAGACGGACAGATGGGGAATGTCACGCTGGAAGTACGATTTTGAAATCTAGTTTTTAGATTTAGATACCTTTCGCTCGGGTATCGAGATTTCCAATCGAGTCGCACCATCGCGCACGGTCCAGGATACAGCCAGCTAAAAAGATCAATTTTCAATGAGTGCCCGAAAGCCACCTCATCCCCAGGCTTCATCTCGAGCGGTTCGAGCAGCGGATAGATGCCGTTCGGCCAACACGACTCATCGCTCATTGTATCAATCGTCACATCACCGTATATTCGAGAGCTATAAAAGTAAGCATAAATAGAATAGCAAAAGTACAAAATAAGAATAGATGATAAAGTCAATTACAAAGACTATAAAAGGAAATATCAATTATTACGATCTTGCGTACTTTACATCTTTATATGGGAAAAGTAAGTCTCCAAAAACTAATACCTAAAGGCTGATGCAATGGCGTGCACTTTCGCTTCTTTCGTGGCCATCAACAGTAAGGTACCATTCATCGGGCTGTCCACCATATCTTCGAGTTGCTACAACGAAATATGCTATACAAAACCTCGAACAACCAACCGCTTCGCTGGTAAAATCCACGCTAAGCGCCGGCGTCCAATCGGAAGCCACGAAGGTATCAGGGTAATCTTTTAAATAGGCTGACCAATAAGGATCACGATCTAAATACAAAATTTAGCTTCTTCTCACAAACAACCTTCTGGTCGGTTTGAAAGCGAGTTTTCCTGCGTCACCCACGTCGAACATACGGCCACATCCCCGACGTATGCAACGTGCGTAGCGTGGATTGATTCCGAGGAAAGCAGCGCCAGAAAGACTGTCGCCTGAATTGTCGTATATAGATGACATCAAAAATGAGACACCTTCTCGGGGATGAATTTCGCATTTGGCGCAGCTATTCGCCGATGCGCGTCAAGCATCGTCGCCACGGTCCCTTCGCCAAAGACACAACAATCCATCGTCTCGCTCAAGATCACCTGCGCCTAAAATGCCATACTTTCAAAGAAGGACTGAAAGGTACAAACCTTCAATGAAATCTCGATCTCAAAAGACCGCTCTTCGATGATTTGGATGCGATTGGAGAGGCCATTCTGTGCTCGGACCTGGAATTTGTACTTTGCCAAAAGCTTATATCTACTTCTCGAGAAATCTTTGCCAATATCGGGTTGTACTCGCACGAGATGACGTTCGGGGTGATTCTAAATCATTGAAAAGGTCTGTAACCCAGAAAAACTCGTACCTAGCGGCGACCAGCGAAAGAAGCGCCGTCCCAGAGCCGATTTCGAAAAGCAAATCGCCCGGTGATGTCTAAAATACAACAGGGTTAATATGACAACAATCAAGTTACCGCTTTTCCAATTGCTTCTGCAAATTTCGCATTCCGTTTCGCATCGTTAATCATTGGAAAATGCCATGCGTCAAACAGCTGAGACTTCTAAAACCAGCTACATGTCAACTAGTACAAAACGTACGAAATTCGCCAAATTCATCCTGTGCGCCACTCGTTCGTTCCCGACGGTCAAACGGATGCAGTTTTGAAAGCGCTCAATTGCCTCGCCGACTTCTCCTAAAATTTGCGCTTACCAAGAGCAGCTAATTCACAAGCCACCCGAATTAAGCTCTTCCATAGTTTCCCCTTATTCGGCCCCAAACTACCTCGATGAAAAGCATCCCGGGCTAGCACTTCATGTACAAGCGCGGATTCGGGAAACAGCTCCAATGCATTCTTCCACACCCCATGTGCCATCACCACATCGCTACATCCGGACAGCTGCTGCGCAAGTGCCTTAAAAACCCAAAATTCATCGTCTTCGTGTAAGACCTACATCAGAAAACTCGGCCGCAAAGTCGGCATACCGCGTCTTCTCGTCGACCGTTTTCAGGACGACAAAGTAGTGAAGCAGCGCCTCGGAATGTTCTCCTTTGGCGGTTGCTTGACGCGCCAAGTATAGGGACAACCTCATCTCATCCTGGAATTCCCAATTATGGCTTTTTGAAAGTAAAAAATTGCAAAAAAAAATAAAATGAAGTTTTAGAAAAATTATGTTTTCTATGATGCTACGCCATTCCAGTCGACATAAACGTAATTTGCAGCATAAAGGAACAAAACCGCGTGAAGATTTATGAACGAAATCCGTACATTGGACCGCAACGGAGCTCAAAAATGAAATAAATGTTTTGTTTTTATTCACTTTTCTCAGAATTCATTGGTTCGTTTTCTATGTAAATCCGCGCTGCCGATTGGACTTCTACCACGCCGTTTTCGAGCTGTTCAGCCTTGGTTCGGTAATGCACATGATGGGTAAGGGAGGTAAAATCCAACTTTTTCTCTGTTCCTGTGGAAGCCTATTTTTAGATCAGTTTCTTCAAAAGCTGTAGTTTGTCGAGTCTTCGCGTTGTGACTTGCCGAGTTTTTTGCAGGTATCTGGGTCAAACGCAGATTTTTTTGCAGCCAACCGGGGCGATCATTTCTCGTATAGCGGCCTGCTTAGCAATTCCTTTAGCGCCTAGCGCCTCCAACGGCAATTCGGTGAGCTTATCCACCCCCCTGGGGACGATCCTCGCACAGACAATGTAGCTGTCTGTGGATGGTGGTAGGGGAGCGGGGGTCGAGCGCGCCTGCGTCTTCCTCAGCCCTCACATTCGGTGGTGGGGGCGAGGGTGAGCGAGTGTGAGGGAGAGAGCAGAACCGCGGGAGCCGAGGGTGGTGCTGGCCCGATTCCAACAAACGCGACGCGCTGGCTGTTGGCGGGGCGCGTGCTAGCAGCGACTGAGTATGCTGCCCCGGCTCGACAATGGCTACCACACAGGCCTTTGCTTTCTATCTCCGCCCCCAAAACACCCCCACGCTAACTCCTCCCCTACTCGTTCGCACCGCCCGGCGGCTTCACCCCGCCCAACCAGCCGGTGGTTAATCGTCATGGAGCGTGGGAAGATTAGGTGCCGAGCCGGGGTGATTGGTTAACCCTGGGTATCTTGCTTTGAACGGGTGCCAACGCCGTGAAGTGAACCGGGGTTAGGGGCCGGAAAAGGGAAACTCATCGATTATTCATACAATATTCATACATTACGTGCAAAGCTCTTACTGACCACAAATTTGCACATGGTTCTCGGGCAAAATTGACTAATGAAAGTTTTTGTGGCTGCTTTCGAATCTCGCGGTGTATTGGCGCCCGGCCCGCCGTTGGGGTAATCGATTAGTTGCCCTTCCTAACGATCCTAAACGTACAATGCGGGCGATGTTAAAATGGACTCTTCTCGTTTTCAGGCACTTCAATAATCGTACTTTTGGGATGAACTATTCAGAATCCCTTATGCGGTGGTCTTATCAATGAAGAATTGGCGTAAAAAACTTTTTCGGCCTTCTTGCTTGACTCGATTTGAATTGCAGGGATCCCGGGAGACGGTAGTAGCCTACGGGCATAAATTGAGCGCCACGGCTAATTCCTATAGATCTGCATACAAAATTCCTTGAAAAAATCGTTGTGTATTTTCTTAATTGGTTCACTGAAAAACATCATTCTCATTTACTTCTTACTTACTCATTTCAATTCTTGCTCGCATCGACCCGTGTTACTATGGCTTCCCGAGCCATTCTCGGGCTTCACGTTTCCGCTCGATAGCCGCCAACCCTTTGAAATTTCTTTGATTTCAGGAGACCGAGTGGAGCCCCGGGTCACCTCGATATTCCAGTACTGTTTGAGAGCATGTCATAGACCGGCCTGCGGCATACCAGCGCTTCGCCAAAATGGAGTACGTTTTTTACAGGGATCTGTTTTTCCTGGAGGGTGTTCTTAATTTCTGGTCTGTTTTCAGAGAAGAAGACTGGTTACGATTTGGGTCCGATTGGGGGCCCGGGACATCAGACGACAGTTTCATAAATGACCTCAACATTCCGTTGCGGGATTCGCCGCCGCCGGTGCAGTATGTCACTGATGTAAGTTTTTCTGTGTTGAGAAGCTTACCTTATTTTTTTGCTTTATAAATTGAAACCTTTTTTGATCATCCAGTCTAAAACGGCAATTTTTCAATTGAATAAAATTCTTGCCCCTTCCAGATGCAACCCCACACTTCGGCAATGGCCACAATGGATCTGGGATTTGACGACGGGTTCAACAATGGTTGGAATTCCTATTCAGGCGTAAACATCCTTTAGTGTACGACGAGTTGGAAAACAACACGTACCAAGTCCAAATGACGGCCGTCACCACGCAGCAATCCACCTCTTATGCAGAAATGCAACCGATACAGGCGACGGTGAGCCAGACGCCCGGATTTCTGATTAGAATTTTTATTTAGTCTTCTCACAACTATCAAGAGCCGGTGCAACAAATGTATGTGGAAGCGCATGGGACGCAAGAAACTAGCTACTATCAGGTTTCTTTTTTTGTTTTTTTTTTTCACGTGAAAACTAAAACAGTCCCACTAACGCTTCTTTTAGTATGAGCAAGTGCCCGTCACGCAGCCGCCACAGCAAATACATCAGATGCAGCCCCAGACGAGCGGCCATATGCAACAAATGGTTTGTAGTTGTTTTTAAATTTTTTTAATTTAGAAATGGTGAGACAATTACGTTTATTTCAGATGACGTCGTCTGACTATATGCAGGTGGAGCCGTCGACATCGCAAATTGTGGACCCCGTAGTGCTGCCCCAGCAGTCCAACACGCCACAGCCAGCGGTATTCTGGCCTCAAAATCAGCGACATTCTTTTTTAGAAGCCCAAGTCGAATCGAAGCTCGCAGCAAAATCGGTCGAGTGCGCAGAGAAAGGGCAAAGCTGGTGGGTTTTGAAGCTCTTTTATTTTTCTCCGTTATTTATCATATTACATTCCTAACAACCATCTACTACTTTAGCTGCTGCAGCGACCAGTAATCAAGCGCCGCGACAACAGCCCAAGAACCCAGACAATTCCCAGCAAACCGTCTGTCTCAGCCAAGAGGAAACACAGTTGATGTCCCAAATTATGCGAGGTAATAGGCGCATGAAATGTCAAACATTTCTTTGTTTTTTAGAGCTTCAAGAAATCGCAACGCAATTGGCGGCAACGGAAGACGAGGATATCAAGAGCAACTTGGTGCAGAAGAGGAAGTGCGTGTTTTTGCGACCAATTTTCGAATGCCTGGCAGCGAAGCGCTAATCATCGGCTTTTCAGGGAGCTAGAGGAGACTCAACAGCGCATCCTTCTGTCACAGTTGATGAAGCAGAACGCCTCGTGAGTTGATAATCGCAAATTTTCCTTGTTTTCGATCTTCACACAGACTTTACTTTGGAAAAGTCGTTGTTTCGCTTTATCGCTTCAATTCGTCGGGTTTAGGAATAGAAAAAAGAAAATACTTTCTGTATTAATCTATGTATTAATCCGGAAATTGGACCCTAATGGAGAAAGTCTGTGGCCCCGATCATGTGATAATCCGATAATTCCAAACAAAATTATTTTGCTTAAGGCTGGCCGCTCAAATCTCGGCACCAGCTATGCAGCAACAGGCCCCGGTTGTACAACAACCACCTCCTCCACGGCCTCGTCCAGCACCCCCCGCCAGGCCGCCGGTGCCCAAGGTTGGTTTCGCGATTCTCGACTTGCCCATTTTTCTGCCATACTTTTTCTCGTTTTGCGCTCGGCTTTTGTCGCCCGTTCCGTTTCCGTTGCCTGCCCGCCGTTGAATGGAGGGGAGATCTGTCCAACTTCGGGTGGTGTTGGATTGCTCCTAGATAGGCCAAAACTTGACTTGATTTTTCTGAGAACTTCCAGGAGCAATCCAGTGTGTCGCCAGTATTGGCGAGCTGTCGGGGCCGCCGGCCCTATCCTTCTAGATGTCCGGGTCTGGGTTGGATGCAGACGGGTGTCGTGTCCAGGGTTATTTTTTTGGGGGAGGCATGGTTCGCCGTGTTGGATGTTTTAATTTTTGAAAAGTCTGAAGGTTACTTTAACTAGATCTGGCATTATTTTGGCCAAATCCACCCCGAAACCCGGGGATTTTTTAAGCTTCCGGTTCTTATTCACATTCCAAATTCATTTTAGGCAAGTTCAAGTTTTCAGGTTTTTTAAGCGCGTTTTTCGAATATAGAACCGGAAGCGATTTTTTCCTGACCTCTTTCCCGCTACAATTTACTTTTTTTTTAATTTTCCAAAACGCCAACCATGCCTTCCACCTCGTCACCAATCAAACCTGCAACTAACGCACACACTCACCATCCCCTCCAACCTTTTAGAACAACGGTCCGGCCCAGCTGAAGGTGCTCCAAAGGCAGGGCTCGGGCACGACCCTGGCCCCGAAACGCTCCCAACCCAAGAAGCCACCTCAACAACCCGTCGAGCCCCAGCCCAAGACCATCCAGGTCATCCAACAACCCGACGGCAGCCTGGTCTGCGTCGAAACGGGCCAAGTGCTGAGGGCCAGTATCGAGCCAATGACCAAACAGCCACCGGCCACCATCACCCCGCCGCCCGAGGCCGTCGCCGGTCACACCGATGGCCCACCGCTGCTACACCCCGAAACCGAGGCCGCCCATGCATCTACCTCGGCCATCACCATGCTCTCCTCGACGGCCAACGACGGATATTGTGAAGTGAAGGTGCCGGTTTTATTCAATTTTTGGTTCTTTGGTATTTCCAGGGGGGAAAAACTGTTCTTGGGTTCCAGATCTTGCTAGATAGTTTTGTTACGATTCCTACGCCTAAAAAATTCATTTTGTTTAAAAATACGCCTGAAATTGTTATTTTTTTTAATCCAAATTCGAAATTGAATACGGTTTACACTTTTTCAATATAGTTGAATTTTAGTTTACTATACCCGTTATTAAAATAATTTCTATGACGTTACTAAGCACATCTGGATTTATGAGCGAAAAATTCCGTTCCCTCTGGAAATACTCAAGAACCATTTTTAATTTAGCTTTATGCATTTTTATTGGGTTCGGCGAGCACCGCCTGGGCGTCCAATTTATTTCCTGCAATCCCAGTCCAAATCGTCTACCCCCCGGTTACGTAACATTTTGTTGAAGGGGCTGTGAAGAAGAACGGTGCGCCAAAAACAAGGCTACACTTTATTTTACAGCCTTTAATCCAGCTTCACTCCCCTTTATAAGCACTTTTCCCTGGGCCACCCCTGGTGTCGGATAAAAAAATTGTTTTGCAGGGTTTTCAGGAGCTTTTAGTGCGGGTACTAATTCAACAAGACTAGCAGCAAGTGATACTGTTTTTGAATTGACGAGTTTTCTCACGTTTGAACTAATTGGGTGCGCTTGATCTTGACAAACAAACCCGATAAAAACTAACAGGAGGTAAAGTAAATTTGGAGAATAAATTAGAGATGAGAGAAATTAGCTCTGTGGTACCCTTAAATGTTGCTAGGAGCTAGGGGATCTTGTACTACGTGATTGTCTAGCCGTGTGTACATGCAAAAATCTTTTTTTTGTGTGTTTTCTGTCTTCATCGCGCCTTCAGGTCCAACGAGCACCCCCTCAGCCTCAACCCCAACAGTCGCTTCAACCCCAACAACTCCAACATCATCCCCAGCCTCCCCAGCAGCAGCAGCAGCCGCAGCAGCAACAGCAATTTTACACGAGCACGCACAGCTTGCAGGTAGATTGATAGAAGTGGTTGATTTGGTTTTATCTTTTTTTTGGTTATGCCAATTTGCGATACTTTTTGACGGCATGTTGCGGGTAGCGGTATTTTGTTATTGTGCGCATTTTTAGTGGTCGTAGACAAGCCCTTCGAGAATAGCCGGTTGACGTATGATTCCTATTTTGTGGGAATTAATCGGTTATCCGGACTTTTTAAAACCATCAAATTAAGTATTAAAAGTATTTGCTAGGATCAGGAGAAAGATTAATAGACCAGCGTATAGTTTTTTTAGCCAATTAAACGGTTAGCGTGGGGTTAAATTTTTAAAACTTGCTACATTAAAAGTATTCCCGACAAGGAAAAGAATATTAATAACTTTTTCAGCCTGTAACAACCACCCACATCCAGCAGCAACCTCAGCAAAATGTGCAAATCACGACGGCACCCCTGCAACGGCGTCCGATGCAAAAGGTTGGTTTTAACGTGCCGGGAATTTTTACCAAAACATTTTTTTAGCAGCAACCCCCTCAACAGCAGCAGCAACAACAACAGCAACCAACCGTCGTCTACGTGCAGACCGGGCAGGGCCAGGCGGCGGTCGTCACCCAGCATCAGTACATCCAACAACCGCCCCCACAACCCCTCCATCACCAGCAGCCTGCCCCCACCCAGATCGTCACCAATCAGGTCATCAATTCGCGGAATAGCATTGTACGTTTTTTTAAAACCTTAATTTTTAACATTAGCTTTTTCCTCTACAAATCCGACTTTTAGTCCACCGAAACGATGAAAATTGTCGCCGGCCAGCTGATCTCGCAAAATCCGGGGGTGGAGCCAACGGTGAAAGATGTACGTTTTAAAATTGCGAATAGTGTATTCAAAAAAATGTTAGGTAGTACGCGTGGCCTCCGGACAGCAGACTGGCCGCTACACACTACCGGCGCAGAACAATAGAAGGCAACAACCGTTGATTCTCACTTCCACCGGGGCCCAACCGCAAGTGGTCGTTGGAAAGGTACGTCAGGGAATATTCTAACTAGAATGAAGTATTTGACGATAAATCCGAGAATATTTTAATCTTTGAAACCGTTTTTTACCTGCTTCATCGATTCTCACGTTTTAGGTGATGACACACTTGCCGCCTGGCATCAACTTGGGTTCATTGCCACCTGGTACTCATCAGGTCGTCATTGTTGATCAGCCACCTCCTCCTGCTCCCCCTCCGCCACCTCCAAAGCCTGTGGTGAGCCTAACGTGATATTGTGCTTCTTCTGCTTGCTTTTCTGATAATCTTCAACGTTATCAGCCAAACCTCTCAACCGTTATAATTAAGCTGAAATTAGTCTTCATAAAAACGACGTATTTAGATCACCAAGATGCCGGCCGCCGAGTGCGAGAAACGCCTAGCCGAGCGACAAGAAACGCGTGCCACCCGGTTACGCAGCTTCTTTGACGATATGACCGAGCGGATAGGGCAACCGGAAAGCGAGCGGCCCTTCTCGTCGCTGAAGGACGTCGTGGAGCGCTTGTTACCATACGGACTGAGCGACGAGCCGCCGCTCAAGCCTGAATATGAAGCCGAGTGTGAGTTTTTAACCTTACTCTTTAGGACACTTATTAAATTGGGACAAGAAGCAAAAAAAACTAGTAATAAGGGCCCGTTTTTAGGAGTTATTATCGAGTTTTCGATGTTCTAATATACCTCATTTGAAAGAGCTTGCGATTTTGAACCAGTCCAACCCTTCGAAAGTTGCTGAACAAAAAGGGTTTTGGGTAGAACGTTTCTAAAACTATATTTTGCTAGCCGCATGCAAAAATTGGGGAAAGCCACCTTTTCAGAGCGAATTTGCTCCAAGAACGTAATCGTTTGATTTTTTCGAAGAGGAACTTACGAAGAATTTCAAGCTCATCGAACCCGCTATATCACATCGCAAAACATCATGATTTCACGAAAACAACGCCCTTTTTTAGCATTTTGCGAAAGGATAGCCTCTGCAAGCCGTCATTAATGCTGGAATCTAGCGCGCGACCCACCCCCCGCTGCCCCATTTTCAGCATTTTCAGCATTGCTGAAAATACTGAATTTCGGCCAAATAAATAGAGCATTTCGTTATCACCCATCACCGCCACCTTGGCCGAGTGGTCTAAGGCGCCCGACTTATGATCGGGTCCGGGTAACCGGGCGCGGGTTCGAACCCCGCAGGTGGCAAACTTTTTGTTTTTTGCCCAAAATTGTTGCCGAATTTTTCTATGGCCTCGGACAGCACTCCGACCTAGTTTCAGGCGCAGTTGATTTTTTACCTGCCAGAAATTGGAAAAACCTGATCGGGTCTTTTTTACCTTATTATATTTGTTCTTTTTTTAGTTGACAACAACCTGATGCGAAGTTTCCTGAACCTCTCGATGAAGCAGGACAACCTGATGAAACGCGTGGGCCGGGCATTTTTGCAAGAGTCACAGGTGAGGAAAGGCTTGCAGTATGAAAACGAGGGATTTTTAGCGCGAGTGCAACATGCAAGAAAAGAACCTACTGCTCTACCTCGACCACGAATATGAGCGGCGGAAATTTGAGGCGGAAAAGGCGTTGACCAAGGAGGAAAATGGGCATGGTCAGTATTTTTCCGATCAACTATAATAAAAAAGTTGTGGTGTCTGTCCGTCTGTCCGTCTGTCCGGTCCCGAATTCAACTCGAAGGGGAAAAGAGCTAGACCTTAGCTCTCTTCGGATTCGGATAGAGCGTGGTCAGAAACCCCCAAACTGATAAAAAAATTATGAAAAAGTATTATTATTATAAAACAAATAAAAATATTATTAAAATTAACTTTGAAAGTTTTTCCTTAGTAAAGGGGGGAGGGGCGGAGGTTGGGCTGATTTTGGACATAGTGAGCCAGGTGACGCGCGTTTCGTGGCTGAAAAATTTCACGGGGATTTCATTTCTTTTTTTTCTCTCATTCCATCCGGTCGGTCGTTATTTTTGTTTTTGAAGGGGATTTCGGCTAGGGGAGGTATCTTAAACCATCGGGAAGGTATTTAGGTAGTTTTTGACGGGGATTTCAGCCATGGGTGGTATCTGAAGCCATCAGGAAGGTATTTAGGTAGTTTTTGAAGGGGATTTCGGCTATGGGGGGTATTGATGGAGGTGGGAAAGGATGTGATGGAGTGGGACATGTAGGGTAGCCTGAAGGCCAGATGGTTGCAGTCGCGAAGCGACTGTAACCATCTGGTTTTTAATAAAAGCCAATTCCAGAAAGGCTCATCGAGTCCTCAACTCTCATCCCGGCGCTGCGAGAAGCTGGCATTTCCGACCCAAAGGCTGTGGCCCGCGGACGTGGGGGACCGGCACCGCAACGGCCCAGTGTAGGTTTTTATCCAGAACCTTCACACCCCGTAAGTCATGAATTTGGGACCCCCCTCAGCAAACTCATGTTTTAGGTGTTCTCCCAAGCGCAGGCCTACGAGTACTACGATTTTGATGATGTCCCCTCAACGGCACCCCGGCCACCTCCATCGCCGTCTCCACCACCTTTTGAAAGGGTTTGTTTTAGTGTCTTAGTGATTTTAAATGGTAAAAATAAACTTCAAAATCCAAAAATTTAAGAAATAAAAATCTTTTTAAAAGAATCCCTTCTTTAGATGCCGTCCCCTTCTCCATCTTTATCATCGATGCTGTCCTCTCCCTCCTCGTCGGTTCGCTTTTCCAGTCGAAGGTCTTCCATCTCCCCGGAGAAAGCCGTCAAGGAGATCAGACGGGAACCACCGCCGAGGGTAAGCTTTGATGCCGCAACGTGCAATTTTTGTAATTAAACTAAAAACACCATCCATGTTTTCAGTTGCCAGTTGTGCGCGTGCCGCCCCCGATGCCGAAGGTGTTGGCGCAGAAGCAGGAAAAAGTGCCGAAAGAGGAGCCGCCCACGCCCAAGCTTGATCGGCTCGAGAAGCCCGTTCCGGCCGTGAAGCCGAAAATGGCTGAAAAGGCTGTGAAGGTGGAGAAAGCGATCAAAGTTGAAGCTGCTTCCACGCCCCGATCCCCGTCGGTCGCCAAGCCCGCGCCGGTGCTGCGTGTTGAGAAAGCCGAGGAGAGCAATATTAAGGTTTGTTTGTAGGCCTCTCTCTTTAATTCCTGGATTTATTTCCCTTTCAAATGCTCGAAAAATGGTCAGGAAACTGTGTTTAAAAGGAAAGCCCAAATTCCAGACCATTCGCTCACCTCGCGCATCTTATCCGCAGCCGCTGAAGATGCGGGCGAAGGCCCACGACCGCAAGGAGCGCGAGGAGGACAAGGTTGAGGTGGCGCCGCCGACAATCCTGAAGAAGACGACGGCCTGGGAGCAGACCAAGGCCCAGCAAGCGCTCGCCCTGCAGGAGACGATCCGTGCCGCGTCGATGCCCATCAAGAAGCCGGTATGCTTTTACCTAAGCTTGACAGTTAGCACTTTTATTGCCGGCTTAACAGACATCCGCTTCATACTCGTGGTCAAAAAAAAATAACACGGGGACTCTCTTAATACTTGGCTACTTATCAAGATCATCCATAAGCGGATGAGCTGCGCCTCCTGACAACCCATGGTGTTGCCTCTTATTTGGGGGATTTTTTCACCCTAATCCGCTTTAGCCCTCGCTTCCGGGCAGCCGCTTAGCTAAATTTTTCGTACCAAAAGCGTTTTTCGATTTTTTTTCGCTCTTGCAAAAGCCACAGGGATAATTTGATACAAAACATTGCTGCACCTACCCTAACCGATTACATTTATGTTATTTAGGTTCCAAAGCCAACACCACCACCCCCTGAGCCCGTCGTCTCACCACTGAAAATTCAACCACGCGTGTGCCGGACAGAGTCCAACCTCGAAGAAGAGGCTTCAGACGACGATCGCGGATCGGTGTCACCCGAACTTGGCGAGGCTCCACCCCCTGCTGTCATAGCGCCGAAGCCGATGCTCGTCCCACCGAAGCCCAAGATTGTCCCCATCCGCTTGCCACCACCGCGCCCTAACCGGATACGCGTCAAGGATGAGGCCAAGGTACAGAATTGCTGATTTTTAGCAAGTGCTAAGCAAACTATACTGATCTCTAATCGGGGAGTTCTGCGTGCGCTAGATTAATCAATTATGCAATGAAAGTAACCTTTATATTCGGGGCAATAATATACTTTCTAGGCCGAGAAAAGTGGAGCGACGCCAGAACCAGCTCGAATTCCACCAACCCCTGCGGTTAAGGAGGAAAAGCCGGCCGAAGAACCACCAAAGGTCCAACAACCCGTCCCGATCAAATTAAAGGTATATTTTACTCTACCTTCTAATATTTGCCGCCACTTCAGCTGAAGCTCGGCAACATGGTCGAAGAGGTGGTGATCGCGAAACCACCGGGCCCCCGATACACCGCCGCGTTTGTGCACGAACTGCGCCGGAAACAGAAGCTCGAGAAGAAAGAGAAGAAAAAGAAAAAGAAGGAAAAACGAGAGCGGGAAAGGCTTGAGAAAGAAAAAGCAGCGCGGGTTGTGGAAGACTACGGCAAAGACCAGAACCAGCCGCCGCTGCTCAACGGGACGCACTCGTGGAATGGAAAGGTTTGTGTAATCATTTCATATACTTCAACTTTTTTTTCAGCACCACTACGACGACGAGCCGTGCTGCTCGAAATCGCTGAGCCCGGAGCTGCCCGCAGCCAACACGAGCGGCACGCTGGTGTTCAAGATCAACCCAAAGGTTTGGGATTGGAATTTGGTGAAAACTGAATGTTTAGAGCCTAAAAATGCATGCTGTTTCGCCATCCTCTCGCTCGAACTCGCCCGCCGTCTCGTCGAGACCATCATCAAGATCAAATTCTTCTCTGAAGATCCGTACCTCACTAGGCAATAGTCGAGGCGCGTCACCGGCAATTCCGCTTTTAAAAATAGTAAGATTGCCCGCAAGATTTGAATATTTCTTTTCTAGCAACGAGATTCTCCGTCGGAACCTGCCGTGCCAAAACTACGGATATCGCTCAAGTTGCCGAGGCCGGAGGTCAAGGAGGAGCTGAAGCCCGTCGAGCCCGAAAGGTTGAAGCGCCCTGAGCCACCGACAAATGGCCACGTAGTGGTAAGTTACTTATAATTATTTTGATACATATAGAAAAGGGAAATTCTTATTTTTATTTTTTCGACATCGATAGCAAACCAACTGATTCCTTAAAAACTTAAACCAATTGATTTTTTTTTTCACGCCTAACTATTTTCAGGAACCAACACCACCAAAGCTTCCGCGCCTGAAGCTCAGCCTCGGCGCGTTGAAGCTGCCTGCCCCGGAGCCCGTCGTGCCTGTGCCCGAGCCCGTTGTCGCGAAGCAGATTCCGGCACCCATCATAACGCCACCGAAGAAGGTGCAGCCGATCAAACTCGCCGCCAAGCTCCCGCCCGCCCGGGTTGCCCAGCCTGTCAAGCAGCAGCCACCTCCACCGCCGATACAAAGAGCATCCGACTGCGGCCGAGCGCCCTTCACGAGACCGAGGTTCGTATTTGGTTCTGAGGTTTAAATCTAGTTGATAAAAAGGTGTTTTTCGAAAATCATCCTTCCAGGAATCAAAGTTTCGAAAAATTTGCATGGCAATTTTTTTCCTTTTTGGCCTATTATGGTAAATTTTCGAAATTTTGGATTTTGAAAAAGTGATTTTCAGATAAATCAATTTTCAAAAAAATTTCGGTTAATAACATGTATTTTCAGCCCGCCACCCGTCCAAAGAACGGCTCCCAAAACGCCGGTCAAGTTGGACGAGCCCGTTTCGGTGAACCCGTTAGTGGCTCTCCGCAACGCTTCCCGACAAGTCACAGCCCAGGTACCCTCTTGGAAAATGATTTTTTAAAAGCCCATATCTAGCAAATCTTCGGAAACCCCGGCCGCCCTCACTTCAAGAGCACCGGACCGCGGCCGAAACCCGCCACCGCACGCCGACCTTCCTCGCCCAAGGCTCCAGCGCCCGTACCACGGCTACCCGCGGCTCGACCACCACAACAGCCCGTGGTTCGGACGCCGGTGGTTGCGCCGCGAGCTCCCGCCCAGCCACAGGGTGACGTTGCTTTCTCGGATGATGGTGCGTTCGAAATTATTTTAAAACTAAAAGATAATGTTATTTTTATTCGACGACAGCTTCGAATTTTCAGCGATTTTCAAAGTTTTCCAAATAATTTTTTCACTCGGATTCCGCTAAATTTTCCTAAACATTTTTGTTTCTTCGCCCTCATTAGTGAGATGAAATGACTTTTTTTTTGGCAAGAATAATTTTTATTTTAGATGAAGACGACGCCGCCGACACCACCACCGCGCCAGCAGAAGATCATCTCGAAGATATGCTGGCCACCTGGGGACTAACATCCAACGTCCCGATGCAACAAAATAGCATGAAGAACGCCAACGGCTACATGTAACAACGATGCCACAACTGCCCCCCCCCCCCCTCCCCCCAATCATTAGGCTTTTTCAATTCCTCATATTGTCTGTATATTCACTAACTGCTGATCATCCTATCAAAATTCTCCACTTCACCGACACCTCATTACTACACGGGTCTTCCACGATCATTTATTAGCCGTGATTTAAACCTATTTTTATTTTCGTGTGTGTTTGATGCCTTCCCCGCCCATAGATACCAACACAACGTACCCCCAAATGTGAATCAAAGACCCTTTCAAAGCCACCCTGTTCTCTTGTCATTGTGCCTGTCCCGAATCTTCAAATACGGTTGTGCTGAGCAGTATTTCCCCCTGAACACGTCCCCATTTTTTTTGTAATACGATAATTTTCGATCATACTTCGGCCTCTGCTACAAGTCATTTTGCTCAAGCAATGCGTTCCACTTTGTCATCTCGCCCCTCGAATTTGTTCACTTTTCAGCCATGAAGGTCGGGTGGAATTGAGTGTCAACCTCATTGAACTAGTCCACCAATTCCCACCCCGCTTTCCGATCCCTAGTCGATTAGTAATAACCTCCCAAAATTCACCACTAGCAGCTTGTCCAGGATTTTGGCGGTGCCAAAACGCTGCCCCCCTTCATTTCTCCGTCATATGCTCACTTTTTCGGTTTCCACTTGTTGAGTGACCAAATCCTGCTAACGGGCGATCCAATTTTTTGAAGTAGTAAAATATATTGTTTCACTAGGGCTGGCCCTAGCATTAGCTCCAGATCCTAACTATTACCCCCCCCTGTGCTCGCCTCGCATGCTCCACGGTGCTTTATACAAATCTGTTACCCTGTCCTCATACCCTGTAAGACCCGCCCAAAGCACGATTCTGCGATGGCAGCGTCGCCTGTAAGCCCTAACTGCGCGACCCGTTGCCTGAACATACTTTGCCCAACTCATCGCCAACCTCGTACCCATTTCTCGTCATACATATACTCACAAAGCCTAGAGGGAAGTGTGCTAACTATTAACGTGATAAACTTTATTCTATTTTTGGAGTTGTAAACACACTGGATATAAGTATGCAGAGCAGCGGTGTGAAAACAACACGATTCAGACAAAAACATAGCAAGTTTTCAAAAGTGAAGCTTTTTCCTTACGGCGCGATTTGCAAGATCAAAGAAAAATATTTTTTTTTGCGAAAGCCTACGCCACATTACACAGTACGGTTTTTTGTTCCATACGACAACACAGTACGCCATGACGATTCGGATTTTCGCGATCTTGGTTTTTCGATTTTTCAAGCATTCAATTTTTTTTCGGGGACGGGTTTCTACCTACCGTTTTGGACTTTTTTATCGTATTTCTATTTTTTTGCAACGGTCAACACCTTTTTTGCAGAATGGGTGGTACATCGGTGACCATCTCAAACCAGGACAGCCTGAAAAGCTGGCTGACGGCTGAGCTTGCGCCTTTGTAAGGATATTTCGCTGGTTTTAAATTGTGTTTGTGATAATAGGTGTGATGCTGAGCTGGGTACGCTGGTCAGCTACATTTTCGCCTTGCTGAAGAAGCCGAACAAGACCGCCGCCCAACTGAAGGCCTTTTGTCTTGCGCAACTCGAGGTCTTCCTTCATGCAGGTAACGTTTGCGTTACTTTGGCCTTTCTATCATTGCATTACAAGTGTTTTTCAGATACGAAGCCGTTCATAGACAAGCTGTTCGATGTGCTCGAGCACGACTCCTACATCGCTGAGCGAAATATGACCACGAAGCAAACTGACGAGCACCACAGCGACGTCGAGTCCAACGAACGCGAAGAATCTACAAATGTCAAGGCGGTGGCCGAAGGCTCTGGCATGAGAACTGCCGTGGTTTCTGAAGAAACGAAGCCGTTAAAGGTATTAGCGTGAGCAAGCTTAAATTTTTGTTTAGTGCATCGACGGTCCTTCGAAGATGGATACGCTGGGTGCTCAAGCCATGAGCCACGACGAAAAGCCGGTGAAACTACAAGTGGTTCTCAAGACGGAGCCGTAAGTCTTTTTTGCGTTCTATTACGTGCCGCTTAGTGAGCCGAATTCCCAGCTCGTCGCGGAATTGCAGGCTGTCGACGTTTCGGTGAAGCCTGTGCGAAAGCGGATAGTCCCTCCATCACCGGTAAACTTTTCTTTGGCCCCTGATAGGCGCTTTAGGAAGCGATGCGTAGCCGCCTCCGTTCTCCCGTCTCACACCGTCGTGATGAGCGCCGCTCGCGCCGACGATCTCTTGAGAAACGTCGGCGCTCTCGGTCACGCTCCCGCTCAAGATCGCGCAGCAATGAACGCATGCGAGAGGAGCGTCATAAGAAGAAAATTAGATGCTGCGATTATGAAAGTTCGTTTTTTTCACCTAGGAGGATGAGGGATCTATATTAACGATGTGCTTCTCCTCTGCCTAAAATATGTTCACATATAATCTGCGCGTTTTAGAGAACGGGCTCTGCATCCGCGGCAACAAGTGCCCTTTCGATCATGGGCTAGAAGCGGTGACGGTTGGCAATCCCACGATCAAGCAGCTATCCGGACACGGCAACATGGAAATCGTCAAATTGGAACCCCAGGAACCGCCATCTACCGGATATATTCAACAACACGGAAGCACCCAGCCTCCGCCACCCGGCATCCTTACAGAGGGTATTTTTGCTAACCTTTTATAGTATTGAATTTTAGCTTACAATCCTGATTCGCCGGCGCTTGCCCCGATGTTTAACTTCTCGGTACCACCCCCGCCAATCGCCGTTCCAAATGCTTCCGTTTCGCCGCAGTGGCCGGGACCATACGGATATGTTCCTACCCCGCTTCACGTGCTTGCCGCCCAGAAGGTCTGTTTTTTACAGGAGATCACTTTTTTTCTTTTTTATTTGACCGGCTGTCCTTTCTAGGCCACGGAATCGAACAACGGCGCCTGTGTGTCGACAGCTCGTGGTCGGGGCTACTTTCGTGGACGCGGTCGCGGCGGAGGTCGATTCGTCAGCCAGGGGCGCTGCCTTGAAGTCCGCAATCTTCCAATGGAGTGCAATACCATCGAGTCGCTGAATGGCCACTTTTCACGCTTTGGCAAAATTGTTAACCTCGAAGTGCGTATCTTTATGGACAGAATTACCGTTCTCTAGGTGCACTACGAGCACGACCCCTTCGGAGCCCTCATCACCTTCTCGTCGAATTTTGAAGCCAATAGCGCCTACAAGTCGCCGGAGCCTATCTTCAACAACCGCTTCGTCAAAGTATTTTGGCATCAGCCTGCCCCGAAGCCGACCCCGGTTGTAGCAGAAATGGTATAGTCCCATATCTTTGCAGTAATGTAGTTTTTGCAGCGCTCACGTTCGCCATCCCCGATGAGTGATGATCTCGATGACGATGAGTATGAGGTGCTCACGGAAGTTCCAAAGGTTGCCTATTTGAATTGCTGGAAATATTGCTTTCAGATTGCCCTTGGGTCACAGACTGTCTACATGGACCCCAAGTTGGAGGAGGCGCTCTTCCAGAAGGCTGAGGAAAAACGAGCCCGCGAGGAAATGAAGGTTTATTAAAGTGATTACAATAAACTTGTTTTAGGAACGAATGGTGATCCTCTGTCAGCGTCAAGAGGGCCAGAAGAACGGCATCGATCGCTATCTAAAATGCCAGAAGGAAGCTGTAGAGCTCGCTCGGAAGCAAACAAATCCCGCCGCCAAGAAGAAGGCACTGAAGCTGTGCATGGAGTTGAAACAAAAGATGGAAGCACTGCGTGAACAAGTATGCCTTCTTAAGATTTTTTTACTCTGCGTTTCCAGCGCAATACCACGTTGGCCGAAATAGCAGAACTCAAGCCGAAGTTGGAGCCAAAAGCCACCGAGGAAGCGGTTGAAATGAATCCTATTGATGATCAACAGGAGCCCATTGACGTAAAGCCTGCCTCGATCGAGATCGCATTTAAGGATGAGCCTATGGTATTTTTTTCTTTGTCTTTTGATTTCGGATCTAGGAAGATGACGAAGTCGTTGTAAAGGTCTGAAGCGCCTGCGCCGAGGATCGTGCAATTCGCCAAAGATCAAGCATTTTCCACACGCCGTTGGTGCTAAATTTCCTTGTGTTTGCCCGTTTGTTTTAATTTCGCTGTTTCTAATCATCTCAACCCTTGATAATGTTCTTTTCGACTCGTCAGAATTTTGATGTGATTCTTTTGTTCGCTTTTGTTTCCTGTAACGTTTGAAAGACAAATAAAAAATTGTGACTTATTGGGGCCAACGACACTTGGTTGGCAGCAGTTATATCTTATTGCGCTGGCGACTGGTTGAAAAAAAGCTTATCGCGCTGGTGCGCAGCTACAATAAAACCTAGGCGGCCCTATCGAACGCGCGTTCGTCATGTTCGAGTGCTCGATGCCGTTAAATTCGAAGGTTCGTAACTTTCCGCGAAGTCGATATCTTCCAGGATGCCGTGGACATGACCAACGTGAGACAAATGCCCGACGAAGATTCGAATGTGGGTACCATCATGTTCGTTTCTAATTTCTGATAGGGTTACTCGGAGATGCAACTGGAGAAAATAAGTAACAAGAAGATGTCTGATCTCGTGAGCTGGGTGCCTGACACTCCGGCCTTAAAAAAGGTATTAGCTCGCTCCTTCCTTAAAAAAATTTTGTTAGCGGGCCGTGAAAGAAGTCTCCGAGAATCGAGAGTTGAAGACCGCGAAGGTCGAGTTCCAGGCACCCGCGAAGACAAGCTCGGTCCAGGTATGGTTCGATACCCCTTTACCCTGGACCCATGGTTTTTAGGTGAAGCTCGATGCGCAGGGCAACTTGGTGGTCGACAAAACCAGCTTGCTTGTTGAAAAACCAAATGGTCCGGTTATCAATCATTGGGAATTTGTCGAGGAGGTACGTAATTTTGAGAGCTGATCAATATCTTTAGCACAACGATCACAACACGAACTCTTTATCCTTTCGAAAACGGCCTTGGATCAAAAGTCCCTATTGGAACGAAAAAGAAACGGAATTATTCTATGGTGGGTTCTCTCATGATGTGCAGAACATGTGTTCTAGATATACTCCGAAGCACGGGCCCTGACTTCACGCTGATGGCCGAATTTTTCAACACTCGCACCAGTGAAGCACTGAAGAGGAAGTACCGTGCGGAATTGAAGGCCCATCCAGACCGTATCAACGAAGTAGAGGCCGCCCCCGTTACTCTCGATCGGAGTCTATACATGTACAGCGAGAGGGCGCTCGAAGCAATTTCGAAAGAAAAGCTCGAGAAGGCGCTAGCTAAGAAGGTTGGCCGGGTTTTGTTCTTATTTACATCAAATTTTTAGAAACAGACCAGTGAAGGCTGCTATTTGGAAAGGGCTGCTGCGCAGCTCTTGCAGCAACTAATCGCCGAAGCGGATTCAGAAACATGTGATGCGTAAGCCGAAGCATTTTAACTCTTATTTTTTTCCATTCAGCCCTGTGGCCACCGTTGAAGTGCAGAAAATTCCGTCGATCGAGCCACCGCAGAAGTCCGAAGCCGTGATCAACCTTTTGGTAAGCATGATCTGAACTTTTCCTGAGAAAACCTTTTAGAAAAGCATTCGCCCTGAGCTACCAGATGCCGATGTTCCGCCGCCAGCCAAGAAGCTCAAGGGCTATGGTACGTGTTTTGGTCCTGATGTTTAGACAATTTTTGCTTAGGTGATAATTGAGACCGGCTGATTCTCCGATCGTTTTATTCTTCAACAACATACTTTCCCATTTTGCACAGTTGTTTGTTTGCTCGCCATAACGATAAATCTTTTTGTTTCGTCCTCCTTTGAAAATTTACAAAATTTATTATGGCTAGTGACCGATTGAATGCTCGAGATTCGACTTCACACCCAATATCATGAAAATCAGACCGAAGCTGACGATTACGGCATTGCCGATCAGCCGGAACGACAGTTTGGCGGGGGTTTCTTTCGCGGACCATCTTGGATAGAAGGCCACCGTCTAAATTTAGGTTCAGTTAATGGATTTGATGTGTTTGAAGTCTACTACTGGTCACTAAGCTAACCTCTACGATTGGTGGCACAATTAACGCCAACAGCATTCCACACGTCGCGCCGACGAGTGGTATAATTTCCGATAAATTCGGTACAAGCAACGCTAGGGCCACTATAATGGCGGCTTTATTAAAAAACTTGTTTCCCACTTGTCAGGATGACGATCGCGTATCTGTTCACGTACTCCGTCGCTCGTATTGCAGCCTTCGACCAGCGCCGATCCTCGAGCAGCTTTTCGAGCTGTTTTTGACGCGTTAATCGACGGAAAGGCCACACCTCACCTCTGGGAAATACATATCCAGCAGCACAAAGTGCTGTAGAAGGAATCCCGTATAGGTGACAATTGTGAGAAGGACGTCGACGATGAAATATAGCCTAAAGAAGCCTTAATTTTCGCGTTTGGACCTTGCCTAGTATGAGGCATGTTCAGCGTGATGCTGCCCTGGACGTTGTTGCCGTAGACTCGATACCTAAAAATTTTTTAATGGTTGTAACGTTTAACCTAATACTTTCTAATTCCGGCAACCTACCCAGCAAATCCACACAGCGCATAGATGAAGGTGGTAGTCGACATACCGAGGGAAAGGACGCCAAAAGGCCCATTCATCCTCGCGCGATCCCGTAGCTGATTTTCTAGAGGTAACACCTAAACATAAATATCTTAGGGATCTGGTCGTGATGTCCTTACCACAGCATGCCCCTCATACGCATACAAAATCGAGCCGGTCGCCAGTATGAAGCCGGACCAGCTGGTGAAGTGCGGCAACGGGTCCGTCGTGGCCGGCGCTTGGAGGAGACCCCGAAAAGGACACGGTTTAGCATGTCCCATCCATCCCTCCGTACCTGGAATATGATCACCAGTGCGGTGATCATCAACACGTTGCCGGCCAGCGACACGTAGGAGAGGTATTTGAAGGAGCGGATCGTGACGAGCAAGCAGAACGGGAGGCACATGAAGATTAGCAGATAAGTCTGTGATGGGGCGTTGTCAAACAGCCCGTCGCACACATAAAGCCACATGATGTGCCGGTCCCTTTGATTTTCATACCTCCTTTAGGTGGGATGTCATAAAAATATAGCAAACGCCGCAGACGCCCAACTGAAGCAGGCACAGGCAGCTGTTCACGAAAAACCTGCAGTTGATCGATTACGCGATATAATAGGCTTACGAGGAAACGTTTTTTTTAGTGTTGTCGGGGTTTCAAGTTGGGACCAAGCCTCATTTGTGCGGAATTTTGCGCTGATTTCGAACATGTTTATCAAATTTTGGGAAAATCGCGATTCCGCAAATTTGGTAAACACATTCAGAATCAGCGCAAAAATCCGCACAAGAAACTGGTCCCAGCTTGGAACCCGACGACACTAAACAAACGCCCCCTTGTTAGAGGAGCTTACTTGGCTTTTGGAGCCCATCGTCTAACGCTTCTCGGGCCCTGCTCGAACGCCTTTTCCACCATATTCCCGTAGTTCAACGCTTTCCCACCCGAGCTGAATATTGGAATGGAATGGAATGGTGTGTGATTCGACTGACAGTACGGTCAAATATTGGGACGACTTGACGAGCTTGCTCATGTTCAGCGTCGCGATGAAGCCGATCGCGAAGAGGAGGGTTAGTCCTGTCTACAGATTTTTTTATCTATTTTTAGGAATTAACTTACCCCTAGCCCGGCAAATTTTAGGGATAGCGGTATTGAGAAGCACCCAGGGCCCACCATGCCGCGAATAAAGTTGATGTACGTCATTTTTGTACTAGGTACTTTAATATTTTCAAAATTCAGGGATGCTTACGAGATGCCCTCCTCATTGTGGAGCGCCTTTTTGTAATCCGTGACGCCACGAAACGCCTCTAAAGGGTTGTGCAACTATTTGCGGTGAAGCTCACTCCGCTCGCCATTGGTCAGCATCGGCGTCTCCTCGGCGGGGGAAGCCGTGCTGCTCGGTGAGGTGGAGTGCATTCTAAAAAAGGGAAATTGTCAGTTTTGAGAACGCATGTCCGAAAATCATTGGTGGCTTTTAATGGCTAGGAAGTTCACAAAATGAAAATTTGAAAACTTTGAAATTCTTGACCTTATTTTTATAATTTTTCATAAATTTTAGAAATTTCAAAAATTTAGATATGGCTTTTATGAACTTTTTAGATCTAAAAACTGTATAAAATATCATAAAAATTGTTTATATTTTGTTCTAGGACAGTACAGCTTAACTGGGAAAAATTAGTTCCCCCTGCTAACAGTCTAGCACCAAAAAAAGGGAGCATCTAATGATCAACGTCATCTACCTGGCCAGCCGCCAACAATTTGCACAGCCCGCACGCACGGCAGAACTGGGCAAGCGGATCCGGGAGCTGAAAGTGCTAGAAGCTAAACGTGCCCAAATAATGGCGAATCGCCCGGAAAACACTTAGCGCGGGGCGGTACAGATTTTCAAAGATCACGCTGCTGATGGGGGGCAATCTATAAAAATCGGCGAGGAGGGGTTAAAGTGCACGGCGATGGAAATGCGGGGGAATGCATGTGGATGGATGAAGGAAAAGTGAAGGACGAGAAATGCAGAAAGCCAATCCTGGGGCTGGTGGGGCTGATATGGCGTGACGATAAGGGGATGACTGTCTCTTGGTTCACCCATGCCCCACAATGCAACTGACCAGATACGGTTAGGATAGAGAACGGGTGGGATAAGTACAAAACGAGACTCTGAACGTTTTTTTTGGCATGTTTGTACAGATCCAAAACTTATACAGCAAAAATTGGCTATCGCGCAAACAACCAGATACCGTTAGCATAGAGAACCGCTAAATAAGTACACAACGATACTCTAAACGATTTGGAGCTTTTTTTAGTGAGGAAAACTAACCAGGAAAAACTCGTCAAAATGCACTAACCAGCTACGGTTGGGGATAGACAACGGTTAAAATAAGTACAAAACAATGCTCTAACCGTTTCTCAAACGTTGATGGTGAGAAAAAGCAAAGAATTTGACATAGACGGACTCGAACCCTTGACCCTGAACGTGAGAGGTAGCGCAGCTAGCCACTTGGCCACGACGAAAGGTGTTGAATGTTCGGAATTTTTAAAATACAGACTTAATTCGTTAAATAGTGGCCTAGAATCTTAAAATATTTTAGTTACTACGCAGTATAGCATACACAATTTTTTGGCAATGTACGAGGTGTGAAACTTGTCAGGTGACGTTATTTTTATCCCTTTTTGGGCTTTTCAATTCCTGGAAATGGAATTTAGTATTTCTGGGGGTTGTTAGCTGACAGGGTTTTTGATTTGTATAAATAGCAACAAAGAAACAAGCCACATCCAAGCGTCACAAACAAAAGCTAAAAGCTTCGTTTTTGGTATCTAGCCATGTGGGGGAAGGCACTTTTGCCAAAATGCATGAGCTGTTTATCGTTTTGTCGATACCAAGGGGTCGCCCCGCATCAAATTTAGCAGTGCAAACGCCGTACACCCTGTTCTGGTTCGTTGATCATTTTTAGCGAACTTTAGTGAAATCTATAACTCGTTTTTGATTTACTGGAATTTTAGATTTAGAAATTTTACAGATGAGGTTATAAACACGGGAGCTGGGTGTGACACCGCGCCAGCTGCAGGATTTCTATTGCGCGCCCCAGTGACCGTATCCCCCACCCAGCTGCCCCAGGGCTTTTTCGACCAACTTTTCGCTACGTAACCGAAAGGAAAGAATATAGAAGTAAGAAAGAATGCAACAAAGCGAAAAGTTAATAGTTTTTACCCAAAAAAAAATGCTTTTTGTAGGAAATAATGCTAGGGTGCCGCCCTAGGCTTTTATTCATGAGGTTCGTTGGATGGATGACTTTATTTCTGGCAGACAAATCTTTAGTAACGGTCTTTTTGTTGTAGATTCTTTTACCTTTTCACGCATTGAGCAATATATGCATGCATGATATAATATAACAGGTGTGTAATATATGTAGAGGTGTCTCGGATATATATATAAGTTTGGTGGAAAGCTTTGATTATGGGTCCTAGGTTTACGGCTCGAAACGTTTTAAGGCAGTAGCTAAACCATAGCGTAGGCCCTAAACATAAGTTAAGCTTATACTAAAGATCAGCCCCGCTCCAGGATAGGTTCGATCTACGCTTCTTGTCGTGATCAAAAGTCTTCGTCTAGACATCGGCATTCTGGCAAATGTTGCGCATGGACCGCTTCACTTATAACTTTTAACGTTAAACGCTCCAGCCGTCACTGCGAATTCGGATACGGCTTCTTCCGCTCATGTAGCAGGTGGGAAGCACCAAATCTCTCCGGTATGCCTTCCGGGATGACGACGACCTGCAGCTTCCAAAGAGATGACGATCACGACATTCGCACGGCGATGGTTATAATTTGCTATCGCTGCAACGTGCCGATAGACACTAGTTCTTCCTATCGGTGATTTCATAACGGTGTCTGGAAGAAGATCATGAATAACGCTTTGGAAAGTAGGGGCACAGCTTAGACTTAAAGTGCTTGGGAAACGGAAAAATGGTTCTAGCTTGCTAAGTTGAAAATACTGGGTGATTATCTAACGTTGGGACGATTGCTTGCTAAAATAAAATACAAAGAAGTGTCTGCTTGAGCAGCATTATAATATAACTTTAGCTGCTGTTCTACGGGTAAGAGTCTAGAAAACCCCCAGCCGGCACCAACTTTTGTATCTCGGCTCCCTTTTGTGCTAGCGAGCTCTAAAGTATACCAAGATGTTCGCCGTAGGCTAATTAGTAAGACTACATTGCAGTTCAGTCGAAAAAAGTAGCGAAAAATAAAAATAAGGAGGTAGAAAAGTTGAAAAGTCGGCTGGGGGGGGGGGGTTTCCTAGACTTGTGACGTTCTACGTCTTAGTTAGTGTATGACTTTCTTATTTTAATAAAAACTATTAACTTTTCACTTTGTTGCATTCTTTCTTACTTCTACATCCTTTCCTTTTGGTTACGTGGCGAAAAGTTGCTCGAAAAGGCGAGAGGGCCCTGGGGCAGCTGGGTGGGGGATACGGTCACTGGGGCGCGCAATAGAAATCCTGCAGCTGGCGCGGTGTCACACCCCGCTCCCGTGTTATAAACTACAATTTACAAGCTGCGGGACTGTGCAGCCGGTGGGTGTGCGATGCCTAATGTTTGAGACTGGTGACAGCATTGAAGGGCTGGGCGAGAACGATGCCGTCGGCGGCTGCCTCGACCCAGAACCGGTTATGCGTCGGGAGCACGAGAGAGAGACAGAGAGAGAGAGAGAGAGAGTGAGAGAGAGAGTGAGTGAGTGAGAGATATATCATGAAAAACCTCTACGTTCGTAGATCAACTTCAAATATTTCCCAACGACTGTAAAAATCAACTTTCAGGCAAAAAACAAACTAAAGCTAAAGCGAACTCAGCCTCTGACTTCCCGGTCCCTTAAGGGTACTGTACTGTTAGCGAGGGGGCGGGGCGGAACAAATAAATACGCGCAATTGATTGGTTTTCAGTTACTTTTCACGCCGTGTTTCAGTGTAGAAAGTTCATAAAAAATTAACAGTTTTAAAAATTCTGATTTTGGCCTAAATTTATTTCAACCTTCTGATTTTGGCCTAAAATCGAAAATAAAAACGATCGAAAATTTCAATTTTAATTCTATAAAAAAGTTTTAATGACTTGATAATCATCAAAAACTACTAAAAACGGTAAAATGGATTGTAAAACTGTCAGTTTTTGTTGTGTAGATACATGGAAGACAGCTTTTCCCCTAGCTAACAGTCCAGTACCGCTTTTAAGACCACCGTTCGCGTCAGGCAGCGAGAAAATATGTGCTTCCGTCTGCCGGGGCATCACGTCTCCATCCCAGCCCTTATCAGCCGGCCCCTGAATTCGATCGTTTAGCCAGGCGACTCCGAGGCGAAAGACTGAATAATCAATTGGCCGACACCAGAAGACCAATCAGGGGTCCCGGATTATTATTTTCATCTGGATTATCCTATTTTAAAGTTTATAATTGTTTATTGAGTACGTTTATTGCTTTTTTTGTTTAGCGCTACAAGCCGAAAACCTTTAAAACTGTCCAAAACTTTACCTTCTAGCATTTTTCAATACCTTTTCGACCCAAGCAAACCGCCCCTTAACTTTCTCTGTATTACAGATTTGGGCAGGAGATGATCGGCTGGAAGTGCTCGGGCTGCATCTTTGGCACCTCGCTCTGGGGCGTGATTTTCTTGGTGGGTTTTCAAGGCTAAGATTGCCGCCAAAGCCGAAAATCCGCTACACCGTTGAACATAAAACTCTGGTTTTGTAACCCATCCAAAACTTATGCATATACAGGCGGTCCTCGGCGGCCTGTACTACAACGAGTCGATCGGACTGCTCGAAGACATCCCAGAAGAGGAGAAGGAGGCCATCATCCACAACGACTGGCGCACACAGCGCGTCCCCGACATCAAGGTAGCAAACAAAAACAAAAAGATTTTAGCTTTTTTCGATTTAAAAGATTTAAGAAACTAATTTTTCTAATATCCGCTTTCAGGACAAATTCCGCCAAAATGCCTACAACGCCTGGATTGCGGCGGGAGCTTACGGGGGACTGATGGTCGTTTCCGGCATTTGGATGGTCATCTCGTTCAAGAGATCATAAAGAAACTATAATGCTATATTTTGAATTGTACATTTTTACTACATTTCCCCTTTTGCGTGTGTGTCCAAAAAATATCGTAAATTTATGATAGTTAGTGCAGGTCCTGCAGAATAAAGCTAAATTTGGCCTCGGACAAGGCAGGAGGCGCGTGAAAATGTAAACATCAAATAAACGTCAATACAAGAATAGGTTATACTATAAAATATAATTTTTAAAGGAAATTCATAAATCAGAAACCTTGACGCAATTTAGTGATTTTCAGGCTTTATCAATGCAATACTTTTTTGTTCAGCGTGATAGTTTGCCATGTCACGAAATGAACCCAGCAAATAGACCGCAACAGCCAGACGTTCCCATTTTTTAGAATAACCCCCTGGTCGGGCTACACGCCGCTCCTCTGCACTCATTATTTACAGCGGCCGGCAACCAAAGAGGACAGGGTCTCGATTTCTGTGCGTCACGCGCTCTATCTCTCGCTATCTCCCGCACTCTCTCGCCCTCTCCCGCTCTCTAGCCCTCCAATGCCCGGTTGTCGCAGGCCAGCGGGGAGCCGGGGGCTTATATGATAAAAAGAGGGCCGCTGGTTTGACAGCTTATTACTTCGTTGCCTGGCAAATTAAGGCAAATTTCATCATATTAAACGTGTCGCTTTTGGAAATCTGGTATTTGTAGCTTAGGACTGCAAAAAAACCTACAATGAGAAGCTATTTAGAAGCTCTCTTCAAAATAACCATACAATCTTCGTTTCTAAGCCTGATCCGTCACTTATCTGATCGAAACTAGGACATAATTTCATGGACTACTACCCAATTCACAACGACCAGACAATAAGCTCTCTCACTTTTTGCCCTACTCCCCTGATTGATGCGAGTTTATGGGCGCTCTTTCGTGCTTTGGAGCCGTTCTCCCTCCTCCCTCCCCCCTACCTATCGCCCAGCAGCCTTTCATTTCGATTTACGGCGCACGGCCATGACAAGATTTTTTGAATTCCAAGCGCACGGGGGCGCACCTGGCATGGTGTTAGACCTTTAGCCCTGTTGGCTACTTCAAATGCGGCATGAAAGCAAATAAGCCTCTCTTCCTGGCTCTCGTAGTGTTTATTTGCGTTGCAGGAATCACGGCCCACATGAGTTATCATCGCATTGTTTTCCAAATCTTTAGATTCTGAGGCCGTTCCCTACGCTAAAAATCTTTTGGTTTTCAGGGATGGGTGAGGTCTACGTCGACCGGAATGTTGACCACGATTTTGAGGAAGTATCTAACCCCGTTGCCCGTAAGTTTTTTTTTTTGTGATGATGTGTATATTTTTTTCAGCGGAAGCCGTCCGGATCGTCGAAGTGAATGATGGCGACGCCGATCACACCTTCTCCCTAAATGAAGCAGCGCTCGAGAAGGTGCTTCTCGACAAAAGATACGCAGACAAAAAGGTAAGCAACCTTACTTTCGGACTTTGTACTTTAAATTTGTGAGCTTACTAATAGTCTATTCTAGGTCGCCGTGATCGGTGTCGCTGGCGCCTACAGGAAAGGAAAATCCTTTCTTCTCAATTTCTTCCTGCGATACCTCGAGGCGTTGGAGCGGAATGACGGTTTGGCGACATAAAGTTTCTATAACTAGGGCTTCAGGTCAAAAAGAGGGCAACTGGATGCAGCCGGAAACACCGCTCAAGGGCTTCTCGTGGCGCGGCGGCAGCGAACGTGAAACGAACGGAATTCTGATTTGGGAACGTCCGTTCATCGTCAAGGATTTGCACGGCGAAGAGGTAACCGCTATTCTTGCTTCAAAAATTTATGCTGTAGGTTGCCGTTCTGCTCATGGACACACAGGGCGCTTTCGATTCGCAGTCGACGGTGAAAGATTGTGCCACAATCTTTGCGCTATCTACCATGATCAGCTCCGTTCAGGTATCAAATTATACTCAAGTCACACCCGCTGTTCCTAGATTTACAACCTGACGCAAAACATTCAAGAAGATGATCTCCAGCACCTGCAGCTGTTCACCGAGTACGGGCGCTTGGCGTTGGAGAGCTCCTCGAACAAGCCATTCCAGGCATGTCCCAATTCATGAGCCGAGTGTCTTTTTGCAGAGCCTCATCTTCCTGGTGCGCGACTGGAGTTTCCCCTACGAAGCGGAATTCGGGTTCAATGGCGGCCAACGGACACTAGAGAAGCGATTACAAGTGAGTGGCCTTTTAGAGATTGAATTCATTCGTCTAGGTTTCCGACAAGCAGCACCCGGAACTCCAGCAATTGCGCACACACATCCGGGCCTGTTTCGACGACATTCAGTGCTTTTTGATGCCACACCCCGGGCTGAAGGTGGCTACGAACCCAAATTTCGATGGGAAGCTGACTGGTGTGTTTTGATTGCTACTTTTCTAATCCTCGGTATGACCAAGCCAGTCATGTAAAATACACAATACTATCGTCTGCTTTCGAGGCTCAATTTAGCTCAAAATTATCACTTTCAACCGCGATGGTAATCGATTTATCGGGTGTTTTTGGAGGGTTTCTTTTCTCTTTCCTATCCTGTATGTACTTTACGGATTAGCTCATGGGAAATGATATATTTTTACCTTTGCATTATGTCATAGCTCCACTTTTTTAGATATCGAACCCGAATTCCAACACTCGCTACACGCCCTGATCCCGCGCATCCTCGACGGGGCCAACCTGGTGCTGAAGGACATCAATGGGGGCAAAGTGACTTGCCGCGAGCTCGTCGAGTACTTCAAGGCCTACATGAAGATCTTCCAGGGCCAAGAGCTGCCCGAGCCGAAATCTATGCTAATTGTTGGTTTTTTATTAATTTCGAGTGCATTTTTGTAAGCAGTTCAATCTACGTTTTTCAGGCGACTGCCGAGGCAAACAATTTGGCTGCAGTCTCCAGCGCACGGGCGCTCTACAGCCGTAATATGGAAGAGGTATACATTTTATTTAACTGGAAGAAATGCTCCCAGGTGTGCGGTGGTGACAAGCCGTACATGTCCACCTCCGAGCTGGGAGTGGAGCACGAGCGCTGCAGAAACGAGGCCATTCGGGAATTCCGGTAATTATTTAGTCAATTTTGCGCTTTGTTTCGAGCATGAACTTCCGTAGCTAATTTTCACTCAATTCCTTCAGAAATGCGCGCAAGATGGGTGGCGCCGACTTCAGCATGCAATTCCTTGACCGATTGGAGCAGGACATCGGGGTAAATTGGCATCTTTTTACGAATTTTCACATCTTTAGGAGACCTTCGAGAACTTCAAGAAGTCGAACGAGGGCAAGAACCTGTTCAAGTCGATGCGTACGCCTGCAGTGCTCGTGTCGATGATGATCGTCGACTACATCATCCAGCAGTTCTTCTACCTGATTGGCTGCGACGGAATCGCCGGTTCGTATAAAACCATTCTCGTTAGTTATTTTACTTAGGCATTTTCTCGTCCGTGTTCATGATCGTGCTGTTCGCTCTCTCCGCCTGGGCCTATTCCCGTTATTCGGGCAACCTTCGCGAAGTCGGTGGACATGTGAGTTGCAGTCTGATTTCGTGGATCAGCACTTTGTTTTTCAGGTGGACGAGGCGGTGAACTGGCTGTGGCGTGAGTTCATCTCACCCAACACGCAGTACATGGGCGCCCTCGGCGGTGCTGTGCAGCTGGGCGAGCAGCTCCAGAACGCGTCTCAACCGGCTCGGACAGATCGTAAAAATCGCTAAGCCCTTTCACCTCCCACTTTTTCGCTTACCCGCAGCATCTTATGATTGTACACGGTAGCTACTCGAGGTCCACTCCCACTTTTTAATTGTCACAGCAGTAGCATTGTTCCGTTTTTCTTGGCGCGTCATTTATATAGTCATGTACAGGCACGAACCAACCAACAACTACCCTGGATTTTTGTCCTCCCAAATATTTGTCTCTCATTTGCAGAACTGGGTCTGCCGTGCACCCGAACGTACACACCAGTGGCGTGGTGCGCATTAGTGGGTGGTACGGCTTCATCTTTGCCTCGATCCGCCTTTCCGTCCGTTGCCTCCTCCATTACATCTTCGCAACTTTGAGCCTCGGTAGTTCAGTTTCCCCTCTGTTTTGCGCTAGTGTGTCATGCTGGATATTCGCCCCCACACAATCCGTGATTTCTGTATGTGTGTGTCTGTCATAAATGTGGATATGTACCCAAATTTAACGTTTGAGCGACAGACAAACAAAAAAACCCGTTTATTCCCGTGTCGATATACCCAACAAGACCGGGCAAGAAAAATGCGACGATATGCCGCCCATGACCGAAGAATGCATCGAGGCTTTTGTAATCAATTCTGTTAAGCGCGAGAGCAGAAATATCCAAAACACTGATGTGAATGGGGGTACTAGGATTCGGTCGAGTTGGTCGCTGATGAGGAGGTAGGCCGAGACGTACACGTATGGCGGCCGAGCGCGACTTTCGCGAAGAGCTTCCGCTTCGGGCTGCCCTTGTTTTTCAGGATCGACGACGGCCCGGCGCTGCAGAAACAACAGGTCAATCGTGCTACGAAAATAATTTGGCCTACCACGTGTCAGCAGAGGTGGTGATGCGCATCAGCGGCCCGAGAAACCTTTGCGCCGCTTTTTCAACCATCGGGAACGCGTGGATCGCCGGCTCGGACTTGTCGGTCTCGGCGCCGTCGGATCTTGGCCTGGTGTCCGGGATCGCTGGAAAAAGAGGGAAGAAGATAGCATTCTCAATCTTTGTTCTTACACAGCACATCCAGATTTGGTGGCGTCAAGGCCGGCCAATGTTGATCGTTTTGTTGGCACTGGATAGTTGGCGCCGCTGGTGGAGCAGGACGAACGAGTGCTTGTGACTCCGCGGGGTGTAGCTTGGCCGGCGCTGCAATTTGCTGCGAATCCGTGTCCGAGTCACAGCTCGACTCTTCGACGTTCCTCCTCCGCGGCACTTCGGCGTGTTGGTAGGAAGCAGCTAAACAAACTTTTTCCCTTAGGGCCAATTTTTTGCATCGAAAATGGAGAAACTGCATCCATATTGTTTCCTTATGTTTAAAGTTGAAAACTAAGCAAACTTTCGTTAAAAAACAAGGTAAGGTCATTTTCAACATTTTCGACCAACGAATTTACAAGCATTTTTGTATTTTAAGTAGTTTCTTTACTTTAAACCCCACTACTACTACTACTACTACTACTAACTACTGAAATAATTGCTTGGGCACATCTGGAGTGATAGGACGAAATTTGTTCTTCCAATTTATTTCTAGAACCTACCGAAAGGCCGTGATACGTTGCCGCTCAGTTGTCTGTTGTTGGCGGCCACAGTTGCCGACCATCGCTCGTATTGCTCGACAAGCCTCTCCCCTTAAACAATGGTGTGCTAGCGCATATTGAAAAGGTTTTTGAGGTTTTTTGGTTCTGGATCGTTATCGAGGGACCAGCACCCGCATGAACAATTAAAAAGCACAATTTTTTTACGTTAGAGCAAAACCAACATTCTTCCCGGGTCACATCGCTGGGATGGACGTAGATGCAGGTGTCCAAGTAACGGCATAGCCCGGTGCCGCCGGCCGATGGGACGTAGCGGCGGCAAGCCTTCGGGATCCAATGGGGTTTTCGCCACGCCTGCGGCGGAAATTTTTTGAAGTTTTGGAGCTCGTAGACGTGGAAAAAGAAGAGGGAAAATAGGATACGAAAATAGATAAGTGGAACTCACTAGATTTGGCGGCTCGTGTGCCGGGCTTCGTGGCGATATGAAAGGGTGCGGAATTGGTTGTGGATTCGGGATCCTGAAAAAAACAGCATTACTTGCCATGATTTGGTTGGTTGAGTTTTCCGGGTCTTTGTCATGCTCAAATCCTTTTATCAGGCGCACCTTTCAAACTTGGGCTCCGGCGGTCGTCTGGCAATTGGTGGTGGTGGCGGCTGAATCGCGGCGGGTGCCCCCTTGTGCTGTTGCTGCCATTGGGGCGGTAGACGTGGCGGTGGCGACAGTCTGGTTGGGCTGAAATTGGCTCATTGGCTAAACGAGAAATAACCAAAAATGGCTTTTTTTACTATTCCGACACGTAAAAACTTTTTGTCAAAAAAAAACTACAATTTTTGTCAAAAAACCCAAAAAATATAGACTAGGAACTGAATTTTCCTAAAATAAACAGAGAAAATGTTTCTATTAATCCTGCACGTAAAAAAATTGTAAAATTTCCTTAAAACACCCAAAAATCAATTTTTCGACCCAAGATGGCCGATTTTCAACCTAATTGAAAAATGTCGAGGTTTTTAAGATAGTTAAGATCTCGGCGAATTTTACGAAAAACGCTACTATTAGGTTACGTGCAGTTCAGAATTTGTAGGAAAAATGTGGGAGACCCCGATAATGTGAAAACGAGTTTTAAAACTTTTACCTCTTGTAGGTGGTGTTGGCGGCGGGCAGCTGGGTCACGACGGCTTGCTGTGGCTGCTGGGCGACGACGATGGGTTGTTGCGCGCCCAACTTGGGCCAGTAGATGAACGGTTGCTGCTGGAATTCACGGAATTGAATCGCTTCGATAGTATACAAACTACCGGTTGAAGGGTGAGTTGTTGTTGTGGCTGTCGTAGGAGCTGCACTTCAATGAAGCCGTCAACTGAAACGGGTTCATTAATGCGGCCTCACTCGCCAAACTAACGGTTCTGAGGTATGTAGCGCGGCTGTAGTTGAGGCGGCGTGGCGGGATCCGGGTCGGTCACCTGCAGCAGGCCCACCGCACGCTAAACGAGAACATTTTGGTGTTGGGCTGTTAGCGGGGACCTCTAACGAAAGCGATTTTGGATAGAATTTTGCATAGTTTTTATATATAAAAAACCAGTAAAAATCAGAAAAGCTTTCGAGAATTTCGATTTTTTTGAGCAAAAATTTGTGAAAATGGCCAAAAATGTCAGTTTCAAATTTTCAGTTTTTTTTTTGAAATTTTAAGACGTTCCTAACAATCAAAACTACTAAAAATACACAATATAGAAACAGCTTTTCCTAAAATGCGACCAAAAATCGAAGTTAGTTTTGCCTACCAAATCCCTCCCCCCGTTAACAGTCCAGTACCCCCGTTTTCTGCCCTACATAAGTTGATGGTGATGGTTCGGCGATGAGGTACTGCATCTTGGGCTGCTCGTAGTAGATGACCTGCTGCTGCTGCTGGAGGGGTGGAAGTTGGGCTGGAACGAGGACGAGGTCGCGATTTGGGAGCGCGGAAAGGTCTAAAACGATAGAATAATGAAATAAAAACAAAAATAAATAAGTTTGGCTATTATAAAACACCTAGAAGCTGATAGGCGGGTGCCGTCTGGGGTTGTTGTATCTGCGTCGCGTCAGCGTACTGGTAGGTCGTGGGTTGGTTCCAGGGCTGTAAAGATCATTTTTAGGTATGAGAACATCTACTCCAACCTGTGGCTGCTCATAGAATATTTGCGGTTGGGGCAACAATTGTGGCGATTGGTAGAACAGCGAATTCCGATCCATCGAAAATGATGGTGGATGGCGGATGTTTTTTTAGCTAGTTCCGGTTTTTGCGCACCCGGAAATGCGGGTATTCAATGGTAACTTGTAAATTTATGCTAATTCAAAATTTTAATAGGTCCTGTAAGGAGCTGCCGTTCATCAAGGTACTGCTATATTTTTGGCGCACTTTGCGGAAGTATTTTAATTGGTGCTTTCGCGTTATCAGGGGGACCAAATTTTTTTCTTTAGGGTCCAATTTTCTAAAGAATGTTTTTAAACTATTATTTTACTACTCCTAAACTGCAAAGCTTTGCAAATTATTGATACAAGAATACAATAAATACCATTTTTTTGCGGCGAGCTTGATTTTTAACCCTTTTTTGAAGGGGTAGACGGTTTTTTCAAGTTTAAATATTGTTACATTTACTAAAAACATTATCAGAGACCTACTATGGCGCTACTAGGCATTTCTGGACTTTTTGGAAAAATTTAGAAAAATTTTATTTAGAAAAATTTTTAAAGACAGTTGTAAAATTGAATATACTCAGATTTTTTTGTATTTACTAAGATTAAAACTTATTTTTACTAGACTTCTTCGGCCTTTCGCTTTTCTTGGGTTTTATACTTATTCCGGTTTTAGACCTTCCGATCTTCCAGCAAAACCCGGTATTTTCCCAAATTCCGTGCCGACGAGACACCCCAATTTCACGCATCACCACCATGCCCGGAATGCGAGACGTTTTCGAATCACGGGCCTCGGTGAAATTCGGAATTTTTAGACGCCGCGCGGGATAGTCTGGTGACACGGCTGAGGTTTGATTCCGGAAGGTGTATTCCGGTGGAGCCGCAATGACGCCGATTCCAACGGAGGGCGAGTTGCTGCGCTTCGGTTCGCTGAATATCATGCTCTCAGTTGGGGGTATATGTCTGCAGATATGGTATATTAAGGTATCGTCTTGGAAAAATGATGAAATCTGTTCTTTGGCATTATCGGGGGGGGGGGGGGGGGGGGTCTCTTAAAATCGCAGCTGCCAAAAATCGGTACTTTTGCAGTATCGGGGGCACGGAATTTTCGTGTGAGCCTAGAAATGTAAAATAACCTTATAATAACTATTTGAATAGTTTTAAAAGGCCGTTTGCGAGAGACCCGAACAAGGCTTGGCACAGTTTTTTTCCGACCCCCATTTTTTGATGCCATCTGATAGAGCGTGGTCGAATTAGAGGAATCGCACTAATTTGGAATTTTTAAATTAGCATTTTCCAGGTTAAACAAGGCGTTAAAGTTGCCAACGTCGAAAATTTATCTCGACGTGTACTTGACAGAATTGGCTGAAACTTTGTGACTAGGCCTAATTTGGGATGGGGATCATTTTTCTAATACATCGCGAAGCACGAAAATTACCAGAACCAAGTTAAATTGCGTACCCAAAATAGTTTTTGCCGAATTTCGAATTAACGGCGAGTCGGCCGCAAGCTGGAATTAGTCTAGAAAGATGCGCAAAATTTTTCTGCATCGATTGATGTATTATTTAGGTGGCGGCCAGGTCGCCGTTTTCTCACAGCGAGCTTTTTGTAGCTGAAAAATGGTCTGAAAATCCGACTAAAATGGAAAATTTTGCGATTTGCTATGTTTTGACCCACGGGATCACATTTAACGATCACGCCAAGCTAAACGCAAAAATTAGCAAAAAGAAATTCGACATTTGAAGGGGTGCTTGTTTTGGGCGGGAATCGAACCCGGACCCTCCGCCTGGGAGCCCCGTGGCGCAATGAGTAGAGCGTCGGGGTGCCAATCCAGAGCCGCCGCCAGTTCAATCCCAGCTCCCTCTCAGAAGCCGAATTTCTTTTTGCTCTTTTTTGCAATTGACTTGGCATGATTTCTTGATGTGTTTTGACTACTTCGCTATGTAAATACCACAAAATTTTCCATTTTAGTCGGATTTTCAGACCATTTTTCAGCTACAAAAAGCTCGCTGTGAGAAAACGGCGACCTGGCCGCCACCTAAATAATACATCAATCGATGCAGAAAAATTTTGCGCATCTTTCTAGACTAATTCCAGCTTGCGGCCGACTCGCCGTTAATTCGAAATTCGGCAAAAACTATTTTGGGTACGCAATTTAACTTGGTTCTGGTAATTTTCGTGCTTCGCGATGTATTAGAAAAATGATCCCCATCCCAAATTAGGCCTAGTCACAAAGTTTCAGCCAATTCTGTCAAGTAGTCGTCGAGATAAATTTTCGACGTTGGCAACTTTAACGCCTTGTTTAACCTGGAAAATGCTAATTTAAAAATCCCAAATTAGTGCGATTCCTCTAATTCGACCACGCTCTATTAGATGGCATCAAAAAATGGGGGTCGAAAAAAACTGTGCCAAGCTATAATGGGGACTGTTCGAGTGACTCGCGGACGGCCTTTTAACGTAATTTTGATAAATTCAAGTCTAACTTAAAGTTTAAGTGAAGCTCAAACTATCTAAAAAGCCAAAAAAAAATTTTAAAAATGCCCAGTTTCGGCCGAAAATCTATTTTTTGTCGTTTTTACGAAAATTTGTAGAGTTTTTACGTCTAGGAATAGTGAAAAATAGCCTAGAAACGGTTCCTCTCGGTAAAAATGTGTCATAAGAAAAAAGTTACCCCCCCCCCCGATAATGAAAGAGAACCACCACTTGGCTTCAGTTTCTCTACGCACGTCGACCTGGTTGGGGTCGAGACATTGTGCTGACGCTCCACCTCCTCTCCGCGTTCTGCGATATTGTGCAGCTGAGTGCGCACGGGTTCGCCGGGCTGCAGATGTTCTTTCCGGAGGCGCCTTTGCCATATTCCAGGGTAGGAGCCGTTTTTTAGATCGTCCCAGATACGGTACTGGGCTCTTAACAGGGGGTGGATTTTATCAGGGCTATCATTTTTTATGCTAACTTCTAAAAAAATATTTTAAAAATTGGAAAATGTGAAATGTTGACCTTTTTTGCTCATTTTTCATAAATTTTGCCCTAAAAGTAAAAATTTTTCGGGTTCTTATACATTTTTATATCCTTTTTACATCTACATACTGTGTAAAATTCCAGAAAATTGTTTACTGTGCGTTATTGAGCCGTAGCGATTAATGGGAAAAATCAGTTTCCCCCTGATAAAAAGCTCCCCCCTGATAACAGACCGGTACGGATCATCCTTCAAAAAACCAGGTTCAGTAAGATCGTAATCCTCATAAATAACCTCAATATGATAAAATACCTTGCGCCTGGATGATAGCTCATTGGTAAGGTGCTAGCTGATGAGACGCAAGGCCCGGGTTCGACCCTCGCCTGGGGAAATTTTGCTTTTTTGCCGAAAGTTTTTGAAATAGCTTTTGGAACAAAGGAAATCGGGGTTGTTGATGCCATTTTTCTTAAAAATTTTTTTAACAGTTCTTCGGCGGACTAATCATCGGTGGTTGGATAAACGGCACGCTTTATATGAACTATTTTGTATTGCATCGTTTTTTATTTGTTTATCTGCCATTTACGGCCGATCAGATCCTGACGCCGCTTGTGAATAAGGTGAGCAGGGGATCGTGAGAGAGAGAGGGAGAGAGAGAGAGAGCGAGAGATAGATAGATAGATAGAGCGAGAGAGAAAGCGAGAGAGAGCGAGGCAGGGAGGGAGAGAGATGAAGAGCGGGAAAGAAAGAGAGAAAGAGAGAGAGAGAGAGAGAGAGAGAGAAAGAGTGTGAGAGAGTGAGAGAAAGTGAGAGAGAATGAGCTCGAGCGACGCCTTTAATCAACTCGTTCTAGATCTATATCGTGTTTACTTTCATGTGCTTCCTGTTGCATATGGGATGTAGCGTCTCTATATACAACGTCACCTATAATGCAACCCAAATACTGTGGAAGGTCGCCAACACCGACAAGGGCGGATACGAAAAATTGATCCTCGAGATCAATGAATATTCCAATTATGTGTTTGCGTTTTTTTGCCTTCCATTTTATGTGGCAATTATTGGAATGGTGCTTTATCGAAAGGTGAGATGGGAGAGAGAGAGAGCGAGAGCGAGAGAGAGCGAGTGAGAGCGAGAGAATAAAAGAGAATTTGCCAAATCTCAAAAACAACAATTCCAGAAGCGAATGCGTGCCGCCCTGAAGTCGCGCGACATCTACATCATCTGCCAGGTTTTCAAGACGTTTTTTAGACGTGGTCTTCTGTTTAGATGATGTTATCCTGGGCGCTGGGGATGCTCTGCTGGATCGTTTGGGAGATCTGGACCCCAAAAACCGATCCCCCGGTTGTGGCATACCTCAAGGTAATAGTCTTCTCTCTCTCTCTCTCTCTCTCTCTCTCTCTCTCTCTCTCGCTCTCTCTATCTCTATCTCTCGCTCGCTCTCGCTCTCACTTTCTATCGCTCTCTATCTCTCTTTCTCTATCTTTCTCTGAATCTCTCTGCCTCTCTCTCTCTCTCTCTTGCTGTCATCTTAACCCTTTAGAAATCGCTGTCGTGGATCGGCTGGAATTGCTACAAACCGCTTTCCACCCTAATAACGCTCAGGTAGGCACGTTTATAGCCTTTTTCTAATTTAGCTTAGTATTTTCCTGGTTCAAAAATCGTTAAAATAATTATTATAATTTGATTTAATTTTCAAATTTAATTCACAAAAAAAACACAAACTTTTTGTATTTGCAGCATCAAGCCGAGCTGGGTGACCGGCGGCGCAAACACCAACAATCCGGCCAGAGGACCCGTCAGCCGCACAAAAATCACGAATATTTCTTGAGTTGCTGGAGTAGGACTCTGTATTTTGTTGAGAATGAAGTTCTTTTTTCGAACATATGATTGAATTTAAAAACACACACAAATATAAACGGAAAAATCATACTCAATTGCTCAAAAATGACAACAACACATCTTTTTAATTTGAAGTTTTATCGTTTAAAACATAAAACTATTTTAAATGCTTTAAATTTAGGAATTTTGAATACGGTTTGGAAAAATGACAAAAAAGAGTAGATTTTCCCAAACATTGGCTCGATAATTCGCTTCCAAAATTTTAATCGTTAAGCTTTCCTCAATTCCACGATATTCCAGATTCCGCTAGTTTCCTGAAATTAGACGCTTTTTGTATTCTCATCTATGATGCGTTCCTTTAATTTTATTAGGAACTAGCAATTTTCCAGTTTTTTTAGAATTTCACCCTAGCCAATTTTCGGGCCGAATGCCATCGGGCATGGGATAATTCGGAGGAATTCCGCTTGTCTGCCAAAATTCCTATGGACGACCCGGCTACCGTAGCTACTACCGTATCCCCTACAGTAATCCCGGAATACGCAATTTTTGGGTGTATCGAATTCGCGGTGGCCGCGTTTTTTATCGGGTTGCAGTTGTGGTATTTTCGGGTGGGTTTTGACGGTTTTAAAGGGGGTTAAAGGGACTGAGAAGGCAAGACTATCGATTGCGGAACTTTACCTGCACGCATTAAAAAGCTTCATGGAAATTTATAAGCAGGCCTCGGACCTTAGAGATATTTCTAGTATCTGCTGTCGAAGAAGCCGGACTGGGGCAAGGGTGTTGTGGTGATACTCTTCTTACTGACCGCCGTCTGCGACGTGTTCCAGTTGATCGCCCATTGCTACGTGGCGCTGGCGATGATCTTCCCCGTCACCTTAGAGCCGTACTGCGGGGTAAGAGAGAGAGAGAGCGCGTCAGGGAAAGAGAGAGAGAGAGAGTGAGTGAGAGAGAGAGATTTTCAGTACTTCGGTAGCCTCCTCCTTTGTGGGTGGATGAACGCCGCCTTCTACATGTCGTTCTTCGTCGTTAACCGGTTCGTACACGTCTACTTTCCGTTTCAAGCCAGTCGAATTCTACAGCCGTGGACGGCCAAAGTAAGAATTCAGAACCTTAGGACTTTTGAGTCCCGAAAATCCGAAAATCATCCAAATTCTTTCAGCTATTCGTGGCCCTGTCGGCGGTGCTGTTCGGCTTCATCCTCTATTCCACAGTATTCCTGTTGACGGTTGTTCGACGGCAAAAGGACTGGAAATGGTCAATTGATCTGACGAGACCCGAGAATAGGGATAATCCATATGCTGTGGCTATCAAAGCGGTGGCCAACTACATGCCCACATTCTTTGATTTGCCCTTCTATGTTGCGCTGATTATAATGATTATTTGGAGGAGGGTGGGTGGATTACGGTCTCTCTCTCCCTTACCCAACTTTTAGCAACGTGCTCCTCGCGATTTCCTGCGGCCACGAGAGATTCTTGTCATCCTCCAGGTAAAGCCTGGAAACCCGATTTATTGGCCGAGTTCAGATGCTTTGTTCGTGGCTTCTCCGATTGGGCATTTGGTCATCTTGGCATATATTCGTGTCCCGCAGCGATCCGGCAGTTATCAAGTTTTTAGGGGTGAATTTTGCGTATCTTTCTCTCTACCTCCCTCTTTATCTCTCTCTCTCTCTCTCTCTCTCTCTCTCTCTTTCTCTTTCTCTTTCTCACACTCTGTCCCCCTCTTTCTCACCCCTGATCTTCAGAAAGACATGTTATGGCTGGTGTGGAACGGCTTCAAACCGGCATCTACGATTTTGATGCTATGGTAAGCCATCTTTATTAGCATCAGTAATATTCACGGATTCCTAGAAATTTTGTAAGTTAAGGCTTTTCCCATGTTGTATCATATCTAGAGCACGTTTTCAGGCTCAAACCGACGCGTCTCTTCTCCATATTAGTGCAACGCCGTCACCGCGCCGCCACGCACAGTATCACGTGGATTCGCGCCCGAAAATCGACCGTTTCGACTTATGCTACTGCATAAAATACTACTGATATATTCAAAATTTACCTGCCGCTAAAAAGCAACTAGCAAAGATCAATGAGGAATTTGGCACATTTTTTTGCTCTTCATCTCGTTTTATGGATTTCTCTCTGAAGCCATCTTTATATCTCCCTCTCGCTCGCTCGCTCTGTTCCCCTTCTCGCTCGCTCTCTCGCTCTTTCTCGCTCTCCGGCTCTCTCTCTCGCTCTCTCGCTCGCATTTTCTATTCTCTTTCCCTACGGTTTTTGCTCATCATTAATGCGTCTTTATTTCACAAAAAAAGTAGCTATAAATCCGTGGTCACATCACTCAGCGTCGTGATGAAGATCGGGCGCGCCGTTTCGGGCCTGTAAAAATGGTCCTGATTTTTAATCGCTCCACCTACCGTAATCGCAAGTCCCGGCTGGCGTGGAATGCGGGGGTGGAGGTGAATTCGATTTCTTGTTTTCGGGGCGGGGCTTGTTGGATCCGGCGGACGATGCGTTTTTGGTCCTCTTTCTGGAACGGGGTATGTGTGGTGTTCTCTCTCTCTTCCTCTCTTTCCCTACCTTTTTCCGTTCCTCCTGCTCCACCCGCATCTGCAGCGCTTCAAGATGATGTAGCGGAAGACTGGGCGGATCAGGCAGGCTGTCCATAAAATGGAACGGGTCCCGTAGCGATGTCAGATTTTGCGAATTTTTCGCCTTCACCGCCTGACCCTGCGGTAGTGTGGTGGTACTGTAAAACGGGGTACGGTATGGGCAGTATAGTCTAAAAATATCGAAATCCACGATGCCGAAAGCTCATCGTCGAATTTATATAACCTTGAAATGCCAAAACATCGACAATTCTCATTTTTTAATTTCGCCATCATGAATTTTCGGCATTGTGAAATTCTAGAGTTTTAGCCAGAATGCCGACAGCCATGATAATCCCGACATGCCAAAATACCGACAGGCGAAAATACCGACGGCCATAACCCCGAAATAAAAGCCTGGACGCTGGTTTGAATGTCACTTCCCTTTAAAATCTGTTTTGAATGCCGGGATTTTGGACTTTGAGGATTTTGACTCACAGGAATCTGGCTGTCGGGATTTTGGGTTTTCCGAAATACCGACACCGTGAAATTTCGACATTTCCTACCGTAGCATCACATTGACTCTCGGGACCCTCGCAGGATCGTTAGGGAATTCTGTCGATTGGCTGAGCGCCGGGCGCCACCTGAAAAAATTGTTTTGACTTTAATTTTAATTTCCTGAAACTAGATTGGATTGGATTTATGATAGGCTTACTGTAACTGGCTGACAGGGCGAATTCGGGCGTGAGGGAGCTAAAATTAGATGAATAGCATTGCGCAATCGGTCCTAAAACTACCTGAATATTTTGGTAGAGGTGACCGGTGGATTGGGGGCGTGGTTGGATCATCGATTCTGAATTTTAACTTAAAAAATTACAGACACCGCACTACAGTATCTTGGGCATGAAATAGACAGGGAAACGTGTAGAAAATTGGAGCTTTATGGGCGAAATCGAGCTTAGAGTTACGGTAAGTTAATGTAAATTGCATAGCAAATTTTCACCATAAAGTAAGAGATACGATTTATGTATTGAATTTTGTAGGCGTACTCCAAACTTAGTCTTAGCTTAGGATTAGCTTATGCTTAGCTTAAGCTTAGCTTAGGCTTAGCTTAGGCTTAGCTTAGGCTTAGCTTAGGCTTAGCTTAGGCTTAGCTTAGGCTTAACTTAAGCTTAAACTGAAGGCTGGACAAACAAACTGGTAGCTGAAAGTGGTGAAGCCCCTTGAAGCGATGCTTGAGGGAAACTGGCTTGGCCCAGGTGTACGTATATCTCTTTTGCATGTGCCCTCTGGCTATATCGACTGGCAATGGATGCCAGGTGTTCCCCCCACCACGGCGCTGGTGCCTAATTTCAATGCCTCGGTGGCCCAGGCAGGGGCCCACGAAACAACCCACCCCCCAAAAGCCCATTAGCATATTATCGGCGGTCAACGGATCGGGGGCGTTGTAATTAGGAAAGGCACAGAAAAATTGGAAATCTGGATAAAAACTGGATTCAGATCTATAGCCTTCAAACGTCCTTTAAAAACCCTTGGCCATGAAGGGTAGCTAGCAAAGATCATTTAGGATTGCCCGAAAATATTTGCAATTAGGGGGTTTTGCATTATCGGTCGAGGAGGGGGGAATTTAATTTTTGCCGATTGGAAACCTCCCCCGATAATGCAAAAGAACCGGATTAAAAAAAACAACGGAAAATCCGCTCAGCTAACCAGCAGAAACGTTTTGGGATTTCCTTTGAGGTTTGGGAAACGGCCATCTAGCAGAGATTTTTGAGGATGTGGCCAGGATACGCCGGAGGTGAAGGCACTTCACAGGGATTCTTTCGATTTGGTAAGATAATTTTTAGGGCTAGGATAACGAGCAGAGATTCCTTGGGAATTTGGGTCGTACACGCGGCAGCGGGTCAGCCAGCAGAGGTTGTTTGGGAAATGATACAATCAGAAGATTCTTTGGCTCAAGGCCAGCAAGCAGAGACGCTTGGGGAATTTGGCCCAAAAACTGGTGGCAAACAGGCAAGCAAGCAGGGGTTCTTTAGGAATTCTTAGAATTGACTATGGAAAGTCTAGCTTCTATGAGTGCATCGATAAAACTGAAAAAAACTGAGGGTTTGACACCCCCTGCGGGAGGTTTTGTGTGGCTGAATAGATGGACCGGGTCGACAAATAGAAGTTGGCGCGATTGGAAAAAGGGAATGGAAGTGCTTGGAAAAGAAAAAGTGAAGAAAAAGAAGAAGAAGAAGAGAAAGTCTCCCAAAAATGGACAACGACGACACGGTGGAGGGGATGTTTGCCAATGAGGTGCATCCCCCATCCGTCCCACCACACCCTATCCCCCAGTTCCTCTTTACGACTAAAGACGGGGACACTTTCATCATTTTAAGTGTAAGGAAGTGTGCGTCAAACTATATAAATCGTTTTAAAGCAAAAAGCCAAGAGTTTGTCACGTTTGGGATCGAACCAACGAGCGATTTCTTGGCAAACGCTGTGCTACTAGCCGGGAACATGCCAAAATCCCGACAGCTATCCCAATAACCAAAATATCACCAGCCAAAATACCGACAGACCGAAATCTCGACAGCCCCCGACAACAAAAATCTGGACGGCCAGAATGCCGACAAGCAGAATCCCGACAGCTGAAATCCCGACAAGCCAAAATGTCGACCGCCAAAATCCCGAAAACCAAAATGGTGTTTTCTAACATAATATTATTTCTGGTAACATTTTCTTCATTTCTAAAAGTAAACTTTAGCCATATTTCAGGCCAAACACTATAAAAAAGCGTAAAAAATGCCGAAATATTCGTCGAAAAATAAAGATTTTATTTGTTTTTAATAAAAATAGTTAGTTTTTTACATTTGGGAATGGTAAAAATAGCTTAGAAATCTTTATTTTATTCGTATTAAAGACTTTATAATAAGGCAAAAAATCTGTTTATCTTTATAGTCCCCTCCCCCCGATATTGCCAAAGCTCCAAGACGGTTTAAGATTATGTGGGATGCAGAAATAAATGATCTATTAATGTGTACATCAGCGGGAGAGAGAGAGAGAGAGAAAGAGAGCGAGAGAGAGAAAGAGGGAGAGAGAGAGAGAGATTTGCATGTGGTGTCGGGATGGTGAAAGAACCCATCACCCCTCCACTTCCTCTCCCCCCATCCACTCAGCCACTTGTCTACTACCACTGAATTGTCCTCCCCTTCCATCCATTGAATGAACAATATTCACTTCAACACCCTGCCCCTTCAAGGGCCCGCAAAAAAGGTACATGCCGAAAAAGTGCGGGTGGCTTTAGTCCAGTCGAGATTTTGCCTGGTTGTCGAGCACCCAGCGTTAAAATCGGGATGGATTTTCGGGCTGGCCAGGATTTTCAATTCTGAATTTAGACTCCAAAAATTAACTTTTCAAAGTCGTGACCAGACAGACCTACCAATTCGACAATGCTCTTTCCGATACCGTCCAAAAAACTGCTCGAAAAAGTTGTGCAACGCCATGTTCTGTTGACTCACAAACGGTCTTTTCAGGGCCTACGACGCTCATAAATATTCCTCCAACCGCAACGCGAGCGGGAAGCATTCGGACGTGTCCGTAACGTGCCCGCGCTGCGGAGAAGCTTTAAAACAATTTTAGTAGATGATTTTTGTGTGTTAAAATTCGTTGTTTCAGCTGGAAAGGCAAACATCTGCAACGCAACACGAAGCACATCCGAAGCTACTTCAAAACTTACCCAGCATGCCGGCGACGTGCGGCGACGTGATTATGGAGCGACGCAACGCTTCGTTATCACTACGCTAAACTACGCTAACATGACGCGGCGGCAAGGCATGGTCACGCATGCTAGGCAAAATCAAAATTATTGCCTGTTACGGTACTTGAAATTGCCCATTACGGTCAACCCTGAGGTACCTTCATGAACCCTCAGTGAAATACCGGGATTGTGTTAGGCCGTAGACCCCTTCCTTCTTCCTTATTCCCGCCATTTTGCATTATTTTTTTGACGAATTTCCGAAGCCAAAAAAAGGCCAAGTCGGGACTCCGGAAGCGGTGAAAGCCAATTGTGCTGGTCGAGATTCCGGGGGGACAACACAACACGGACAGCAGAGACTGACGTCGAGCATTCAATGCCGCTGAATTACCTGAACGCCCTGAGGGAGGGGACGCTCGATTCCCGAAGTTTACTACCCGCGTATAATTTGGCGTTTTGGTGTCTTTTGAGCAATTTCGTGCTTATTCTCGCCTCCAAGTGCCGCTAAAAACAATATTGAGACATAAAAAACGTCACGTTTCTCTTTTAAAGGTAATGGGACGCTTTACAATTTTTTTCTTTGCTTTAAAATTTTTTGGCGTTGACAGTTTCTTTAGAATACAACCTGCATTTTAGCGGGACTGTCAAGGACGTATTGCGTGTAGAAGCTGTCAAAACAAACTTCTCCGATCTTCTTCATCGCTTTAGAGCTACAGTGGCGGACAAAAGTTTCCAACATTTAGTTTTTTGGCTCTATTTTGCCGATTTAGTGTGGAAATGTTCCCTAGATCGCATTGATAGTGGAATTCGGCGTGCTTTTTTACCTGCAACACGCTTAAGACCACAAATCCGCAAAATAAAAAAGTTTGATAAAATTCTCAAAAATGTCGATGACAAAAGTTTCCAACATTATTTCTTGAAAAGACTCCGGGGGAAATGAATGGCGTCCTCTAGAGTGGTAATATTGATGCCAAATCGTTTAACATAATCGTTTTCAAGCATTCATGGTTGCAGATTAACTCCTACAGCCCCCGGGAATTTTTAGAAAACTTTTTTATTTTGCGGATTTGTGGTCTTAAGCGTGTTGCAGGTAAAAAAGCACGCCGAATTCTACTATCAATGCGATCTAGGGAACATTTCCACACTAAATCGGCAAAATAGAGCCAAAAAACTAAATGTTGGAAACTTTTGTCCGCCACTGTAGTTAAAGTTTTTCAATCTAATGCGTTTCTAGCATTCATATACTCTAAAACGCCTTTAGGCTCTGAATTACTTTTTAAATGGCTTAAAATCCCTTAAAAAGACTCCAAAATGTCAAAAACTCGTTTTTCAGCTGTCCCAATGTCCTTAAAAAGGTTAGAAATCGGCGTTTTAGCTTCCGGATACTGCGTAGTTTTCGGAAAACGCCCTTAAATGACCATAACACCACTACACCACGCAAGTCCAAGATGTTCAGAGGTGTCTATCGGAATCGAGGGGAAAGGACAATTGTTTCCCAGATTTTGGGTCTTCCCAGCCCTTTTAAAGCAAGTTTAATTTGGAAGTTAAATGCGTTTCTAGAGTTGCTGTATGCTAAAACTCCCTTAGACCATAAACTGCTTTTTAAATGTTCTAAAATCACTAAAAAACTTTAAAATGTTAAAAACGACCTTGATGAGGTCAGAAATCGACGTTTTAGCTTCCGGATCCAGCGTAGTTTCCGGAAAACATCCTTAAATGACCTTAACGCTCCGTTTTGACGCAATTCCCACGCGTTCAGAGGTGTCTATCGGAATCGGGGAAAAGGACAAGTGTTTCCCAGATTTTCTGACCTCATCCCCGCGGTGGCTCGGATGTCTCTTCTTTTTGCTCCCTTTAACCCCGTCATCCATCCGCCCTCAATATATACCTTGAAATGGGGCTATTTTGGCCTCCCGGGGCGGGGAAGGAAAGTGATAGTTGTATCCGAGGTGGTGGCGGGGCTTCAAAATGACAACAATGAACGCGATGAGGCCACCAGATCGCGCGGGAGAGAGACATGGACCACTGCCGGTGGTAAGTGGATCCCGCCCACATAAGGCCAACGAAAAGCCCGAGTGGAGATGCCGACGCCGACGCCAGAAATGGCTAGATGTTATAAATGCCGGCTCCCGTATCCGGTAGATGCTCATAGATCTTGGGCGAATGTTGCGTAGGCTTGGGTTAAGCTCAGGCTTATGCTTTGGCTCAGGCTTAGGCTCGGGCTACGTTTCAGGCTTTTTCAGCTAATATTTTGTTCTTCTTCTCCTTAAATGTTTAAATTCAAGTGCTATTTACAGTTATCCGATTTAGGAATCCATTGCATTGTCGAATTTCCTGATGTGGAATTATTAATTTCAAATTCATATTTTCGAAATTCACCATGTCGAAATTTAATAACGCCGAAATGTCAGAATTTTTACAAGAACTCTTCGCCCTAATTCTTTGTGCTTTTTGAAGATTCTTTCCAGTCGATTCTCTAATTATTTTCTTTAGTACTAGTGGCCCAGGTAAAAGAGTCGAAAATTTACCGGATTTCGGCATTTTTTTGAAATTCACGGGCCGTCAGATCAAATATGGAAATTTTGAGGTTGATACGACGTTATACGCAGTAACGTCAGCCGGTTGCTTAGTTATGAGAGGCTGACTCGTTTACTTCAAATTCTCATTCTCACACAAACGCTCTCTCACCCGCTCCCTCTCTCTCTCTCTCTCGCTCTCGCTCTCTCTTTCTCTCTCTCCCTCTGTCTCTCTTTCTTGCTCTCTCTCACGCTCTCTCGCCCTCTCTCTATCTCACTCTCCCCCTGCCTACGTAACAATCACATGCTCCCTCTAAAAGGTAAGAGCATCAGAACTAAAACATTTCAGCTCACGGGCTGCAACTTAATCCCGTGCTTCCCTAACAAACATCAGCTCATCGGGTGCCCGTCCGCCTACTTCCGAATTGCGTGTAGGCTCCTGGATTTCCTGGCTCCTGGATTGACGGGCCCGGAAGCGTAGTTAAACTTTTAATCTACGCTAAATTGCTACTTTTTAACGTCATTTCCGGTTACGGTATGTAAATAATGCGCAATTGACTGATCGCACTGATCGAGTGATCGCTGGAACGAAAATCCCTAGATTCCGAAACCACCAATTCTCGCGTTGACCCGCTCGCAAAAAAAACGATTTCAATTTCCGAAAGTGGTCAGAACTACCCCCCCCAATTGCCAGCCCTTTTAAAAAATGGCAGACTTTCTTTTCGTGGCGCGGGAAGAACTCCCAGGGATTCGCCCAAATCCCACTGAAATTTTATCCACCCCAGCTTTCAAAGAGGGCCCCGGCACGTTTTTTGGGCCCATCAAAAAACGGGCCACCCGTGCCCTTTTCGGAACAAATTGCCACAAATGACGCTTGTCAATTCGTTTTTTTTTGGTTAATTTAAATTTAGGTTCTTGTGTGGTATCGGGGGGGGGGGGAAGTTGATTGGGGGCGCCACCATTTTTTCGCCTCAGTCCAGACATTCCTAGTATCATTTTTGATGTTTTGGATAGAATTGTAGCAATATTACTTATATTTAAAATGGAAAAACCGTCTAAAAACATTCTAAAATGCAAATTTTGGTCGAAAATCGATATTTTGTACTTTTTGATGACGTTTTGAAAAAGTTTGTAAAGTTTGTGACTTTTAGAAATAGTAAAAAGCCATTTCAGAAAATATCGAAATTCTAAACATTCTAGAAAAACCTCTATTTATTTTCTAATATGTCGGATCGGATGTAAAAAAGCCCCATCCTCCTCCCCCCGATAATGCAAAAGCTTCGGTTATCGTTATCACGGGATTCTGCCGTGCCGGAGACGCGTTCACAAAGGATTGCGCAACAATATATTTAATCTTATTTCTGTGCTTATGTTTCTTTTATTTAATTATTTTATATATTTTACAAAGTTTTCCATTAAAATTTCTCGATTATTTTACGTAACAAAATTTCAGAAATGAACTGGGTGCTGTTGATGGGTTTGTTGGTGGCCGGTGCCGTGGCTTATACCCCACTCTTTGACGATTACGAGAATCCGTCACTTTGGCGACTCGGCAAGCGGGCAGATGATGATTATCGTAAGGTTCCTAAAAAGTGCCCCTGCATACAGTATCCTTTTCAGCAGTCGTCCAGAGCAAACGCGGTCGTGAGCTCTTTGGAAAGCGGAGCGCAGGAGGCCAGGCGAAACGCGCCCGAGAACTTTTTGGTGCGTTTCTCATTGGGGTGGTCTAAAAAAGATGATTTGAAAAGGAGGGGCAGGCTAACAGGGATTTTTGGGGAATTCCGACAAGGTTTTGCGTGTCGGGAAGGCTAGCAGTGATCACTGCGGAAAATTCTTGTCATTAATGCTATTATTAGTGCTTGTTATTTTTGACTTTTGCCTTTCCCAAGCCTATTTTTAGGCGTTTCCGGGCGTGATGGCAGAGATATTTTGGAGGAAACTAGAATTCAGTTCTTTTGATTAAAAATAACAATTGATCATATTGATTTTTCGATAAAAATTTCTGGACATCCAGGCAAATTGACCCCCCCCCCCGATATTGCCAAAGCACCTAGAAGTCAAAAGCTTCGGAAACGGCTGGTCTGTCATCGGCGGTCCGGCATACTAGCAGCGATTTTTGAGGAATCTACCGTATTGTTAAACGCTTGAGCGCGAGGTATATGTAAAGTTATAGCTTTCTAACTATAGCTAGATCCTCTCCCCCCTTCCCTATTATTATTAAAAAGTGCCCCATAAAATCGTGGTAGGCGAGGGGCTAGTCCCCGTTTGCAACCCTGCAATTCGAAATCCGCGGCGCCGTAAAATTTTCGGAGCGCGAAATGCAGTAGTACGTGGGGAAACTAGGGACAGGGGATGAGACAAGCTCTTTTAAAGGGATTGACAAGTCAAAACATTTATAGAGTCTAAGGTATCGGCGGAGTTTGTAAATTTGTCAAAAAGAAGTTTGTCGAAAGTCCATTTTGTCGGCATTTCACTTTGTCGAAAATCATTTTGTCGAAATTTCAATTTTCCACATTTTGAGTTGGATAAATCACGACCAAACGAAATGTCGACAAAAGGAAATTTCGACAACGAGAAATTTCGACAAATGAATTTCGATATAAGGCATTATGTAGAGGCTTTCTTAAAACTCGCTAAATCTCTCTTCAATGGTCCTTTAAAAGCGAAAATGTGTTTTAAAGGGCTTGACAAGTGAAATTAGAAATATATTTACTTCAAAATATATAGGAATCCTGGCTTTAAGAACCTTTTAAATTAAGGTAAAAATCCATTCTTAAACTTTTTTGCAGGAAAACGCAGCTCCCCCGATTACGACGTGCCCAGCGGCGAGATGAGCGCCGAATTGTTGAGCAGGGTATTTTTTATCAAATTAAAATGTAAAAATTTCCCGCTAGCTTCTTATCTAGACTCTATTAATTTAAAAAATTCTTCAAATTAATTAAACCTCAAAAACAGTATCACAAAAAATTCCCGCAGTTTTCTAGCCGCTTCGCGGGCCCCTCGGGGCTGCCCTTGGCCTACAAACTACACCGCTACGCGTGAATACCCTCGTACACTCCAATACTAGCGACACAACGCCAAAAAGCTCTAATTTACTTCTATTGGTCGGATTTTGGACATTGTAATCTTTAGTCTATGGCTCCCCGTAAAACACCAGCCCCAAAATTCGCCCCCTCTACCGTAATCTATCAATTTTATTTGCAGTTGGCCTCCCCGCTGGACCGCTTCAGACGAGCGCGCACCTCCGAGCTGTTCGGCCGTTGATAGCGGAATTGGAGTCTCGTTTTTCTGCACCCCCAACAACAACAACGCCCACCACACAGCCAGCCATCGCAGACGATCTCATTGCTGTATAAATGTTATAGGATGGGATGGAGAGAACACGAGAGAGAGAAAGAGAGCGAGAGAGGGCGAGAGAGAGGGCGAGAGAGACAGAGAGAGAGAGAGAGAGAGAGAGAGAGAGAGAGAGAGATGCGATCAGAAGGCGTGGACGTAAAGTCAGACAGACAGACACAAAAAGTGCTTGCAGTTACGCAGACAGACAAACAGACAGACCTTGAACCGGATAGATAGACAGATAGCAAGACAGTGAGACAAACAAACAGACAGACATACAGACACCTCGAAACGGACACCAAGACACAAAAAACAGACAGACCGACATAGAGACAGACGGACAGACAGACGTAGGGAAAATCCGATAGACATACAGACAGACAGATAGAAAGAGAGACAGACGGCTAGTCAAACAAACAAACAAACAAGCAGATAGACCGACAGACAGACAGACAGACAGCCAACTCTGCGTGTCAAACCAGATCAACGCTGAAACCCGAAACCCGAAAAAATCCCCGATACGACGTCAAGGCCAATTTGTCATCGGAATACGGTGCCCTCCGGGCTGTCCCGGGCCGGCCGGCAAAGACCCATGAAAACGGGAAACCCGAGCAAGCCGATTCCTACCCCCTACGTGGTGCTCCCCTGGACGCCGATGTGTGTGTCGGTCGATGTCGGTCGGTCGGAAAATGGCGGGGAAGGGATCAATTGTCCAGAAATTAAAAACACAACCCAAGAACTGAATTCTGTTGAATTTCAGTTGAAATTAGGCAAAAAAAAACACGTAGAAATCCGCAAAATCCGACCGTTTTATAAAAATGAACATCTGGTCAAAAACCATCTAAAACCCAAAAGAATTGTCTACAATTTTGAAAGTCTATTTTGTAGCCGTAAAAAAAGCGTTGATGCCCTCATAATCCGGTGATTCGGCGCTCAAATGATAGGAAGCACAAAAAACACCCCTTATCAGCTTCATAAAACGTGCGAACTACGCTGTGTATCGTTATGCAACGGCAAATGGCCCGTTCGGATAACGGAGATTTTTCAGGTAAAGAACCACGCCTTGGTCGGATTTGGGTATAAAATTACACTTTCGTTGATCCCCGTAAGTCACCAAATCCTATTCAGTTTTCGGGACAAAATGTGGCTCTCTCTGGCCCTGTTCCTGTCCCTCTCTGCTGGCGCTCTATCGTTCGTGTGCCCGCCGAATAGTACGATTATTCCCACCGAGCACCAGTGTATCCTTCCCATCCCGGGTGGTAACGTTTTAAAGGGGTCGGCAAGGCAAACTTTTGGATCCTTTATGGATTCACCGGCGCCGCAATGCGTACGCAACTCAATGCTTGTCCGCTCTGAATAGGGTGCAGTCGATTACGTAGTGAAAAATCGCGGCTGCGCGTTACGTGCGGGAACCAGCGTGGTGTTCTCCATAGGGGGAATTTCTTCGAAAATCCCGACAGCCAGCAAGCCCGACAGGCGAAAATCCCGACAGTCAAAATCCCGACATCATCCTGATGTTGAGTTGACTTCCAAAGCTCTTAACCAGCGATTTTCGCTATCGGGATTTTTGGTGTCGGGATTTTGGCTGTCCGTATTTTGAACTGTCGGTATTTTCGCCTGTCGTGATTTTCCGCTTGCCCTGTAGAAGATCCGGATCCTTGCCAGCACCATCCTTTAAAGGGCTTAGCAAATCATGCGTAGGGATTTTGACTATTGGTATTTTATAGATTTGGAATTCCTACCACCAAAATACCGACAGTGAAAATCCCGACAACCATAATATCGAAATCCAGAATCGCTGTTTAAAGGGAAGGCCATTGAAAAACGCGTCATTAGAAGGTCGGCATTTCGTCGTGTCGTGATTATGATTAGAGATCAGCTACACGCAACGCAAGAGATTGCCGCGTCGCGTCCTGTTTCAAAAAAATCTCGAAGTGTCGGACGACGGAACATTTCCAGCTGTGAATTACATCAACGCTGTCCGGGGCTGTGATCGACAGAATAGCAATGTGATCATGATCAAGAACGCCTTCGAGAATGCGGTCATCTACGGGGTTCTCGTCCAGTGTAAGTGAAGACCCATTCGAATCCCAGTCATGCTTTTTCCAGGGTTCCCTAATGCCGACGGCGCCTATATCGGCGTCGAAAGAGCCACAGGTTCATCATGGGTTTACTCGGACGGCACGAACATCACTTATGCAAATTGGGATACCAGTAAGTTGCGAAATACGGGCGAAAACGTCTTTTTTTTTCCTTTTTGGAGTTTATAGAAATGTCAGCTACCCTTGTAGGTGAGCCATCAACTGGGGATTGTGTGATGATGGATCGACAGACGATGAAATGGAAAGCGACGGAGTGTTCCACGCCGCTGCCTTACTTTTGTGGACTTGATGGCGACAGTAAGTTTCGTTAAAGCGGTTCTGGCAGCAAGCCCCTTTTTCCACGACTCGTGGAAGCGTCGCGGTCGGGTGCGTCGCGGCAGGGAGAGAAAGAGCGCGCCCAGAGGAGAGACGCAGACAGAACTCTGCGTCTCTGCCCGGTCCCCAAAATGTCGTAATCGGTGTGCTGCCAGAGCCGCTTTAAGGGGCTAGGAAGTCGGCTACTGGACTCTTAGCGGCGGGGGGGTAGTCGGGAAAACCCAAAAATTTTTTAGTAATCTCCTATAACGAAATATAAATTTTTATGGTATTTTATGCCTTTTTAGAGGCAAGAACTCATAAAATAGCTATAAACTTTTGCGTTTTTGGTCAAAAGATTCTCTTGAAAAACGACCAAAAAATTCAAAATTTGCGAATTTTTTTCATTTTTCAATATATTTTTTATAAGCTTCTAGGTATCAAGAACTGCAAAAAAAAAGAATATAAAAATAGTTTTCGTATTGTCAATAGATGGAAAATACAAAAATCCGTTGCCTCCCCGCTAACAGTCCAGTCCAGGATTTCGGCATTCTGAAATTTCGACATTTCGTAATCATGAATTTCTACATTACGATAGCAAATCTCCTAAACGCGAAAAAGATCGATTTTTCAACAGATTTCAACAAAATTTACTGTCCTTCTTCAGAGCTTCAATGCCCCGATGGATGGGCCTATGCCCCGGGACCGGATGCGTGCTACTACGTGCAGGTGTCTAATAAGGAAAGCTTAAAACGATAATTTCAGGATTTCTTGACGCCCGACTCGGTGCATTGGCAGCTGTACGATTGGGATACGGCCGAGCAGAATTGCCGGAGAATGGGCGCTCATTTGGCGTCGATTCACACAGATGTGGAGAACGACTTTATTCACGGTTCTTCAACTTGGCCCCCCGTTTTTCATGATTTTAGAGTTAATCTTTTACAAGGGGCCGGAAGCCTCGCCGGAGTCGCCGGATGACTGCGAATATTCGAGGGCTTGGATCGGGCTGTATGGGACGGCAGAAATTGGAGAGACAACGCCGTGGACCGATGGCACGTTTGTCGATTATCGAGATCCGAAAACGGCCCCGGCTAATGGAAGCGTTTATTGGACGGTATGTCTCTCTTCCTCTCTCACTCGCTCAATTGCTATAGCTCTCTCTCTCACTCGCTATGTCTCTCTCACTCTCTCCCCCTTTCTATCTCTCCCTTTCTATCTCTCCCTCTCTCTCTCTCTTTCTCTCTCTCTCTCGCTATCTCTCTCGCTCTCTCTCCCCCCTCTCTCTCTCTCTCTCTTTCTCTCTCTCTCTCATTGAGCGTTTCGTTTAGACACACGCGGCCTCTTGCTTGACCTACGCTAATTGGGAAGGAATTCCGGCCAGCGGCCCGCAAGCCGCTCGCTACGTCTGCAAGAAGGAGAACCAACGCGCTCCCGAAGAGCCCGAAGCCTGATACTGACCTGATAAAGCATGATATTTTTTGATCAGCTTAAGCATGTAAAGTACAGTAAATAGGAGCACAGTAATCACGGACTTTAAGAAGAAGATTTTTACCAAACTTGAAGTAATGTCGGCAAGGTACAAAACTCACAGTCTCTTCCCTGACCCTTTAAAACGGGCAACCCCTCACCAAAATGCTTATCCCGTTCTGCAAAAAATTGCTGGAAATTGAGCTGCGGCCGGAAATGGGCTCGTCAGTGTTTATCAGTATTTGTCGAGTGATAATTCGGAGGAAAGAAAGGCCAAGCGACGCCCCAACTCGTGGGCGGATTATTCCAGCGCCCAGAGGTTGGATACCTCCCTTTTTTCCAGTGATTCTGGCTTATAATCGACGGAGCAACGTGGCAGGGAGAAGATGAACATGGTGTTGTCGCTCGCCCTGTTTTTCTCTCTATTCTCTGCCATTCAAGCCTTTGCCTGTCCCAACGGTACCATTTCAATTCCGGGCCAACATCTCTGCGTGGTTCCCGTGCCTCAAGGTTCGTTTTTAAAGGAACGGGGAAGGCTGGGGTATGGACTTTGTTTTCTATGGATTCCCTATAAATTGTGCTACTACCGCGACACGCTAGCTCAGCGCGGTCGTTTCCATTGGGTTATGGGTTGTGCTTCTTTGGTTCTGATGCATTACCGGGGGGGGGGAGGGTCTGGGGATACGTAACGGAACCCCACCCCCCCCCCGCATTAACAGACTAGAACCGCTGCTTGAAGGCCACTTTCCGGCCGTTTCCGTGTCGTAATCGATTACGCAATAGAACAGCGGACGGACGCGCGTTGCGGTGCGTGCTTAAAATTCAGAGGGCGGTAATCCATAGTAAAAAAGTAAAAAGTAAAAGCAAAAAAGTAAGTAGTAGTAAAAAGTCGTAAAAATTCGACATTTTTTGTTCTAAAAATTCGCTACGAATTGCTAATTCTATTTTTTGCAGCGGCCAACTACAACAACGCGATCCGGGAATGCGATCGCCTGGGCGGCGGGGTGGTGAAAATCGAGAGCGTCTTCGAGAATGCGATCCTGTTCGGAATTTTGGAGTCGTGTACGTCCAAGGGGGGCTTGTAAAAATTATCTAAAAATAGTATTTTTTGAAGGCATACACTTTTTAGCGTTCAACGGCTCGGCGGCGTACATCGGGGTCGAGAAGTCGGCCAATGGGAAATGGGTGTACTCGGATGGGTCGCCGTTGAATTACACGAATTGGGCGGCGGGTAAGAGCGAAATTAACGGTTTTCGAAACCTCAAAATGAACCTAAATTTTTATTAGCATTCACTATTCTAAAAACGAAATTTTATTAAATTTTGGTGTCTTAAAAATCTGTTCAGGACAACCCTCCACCGGCTATTGTGCCCAAATCGACCCTTCATCGACAAAATGGAAATCGCTTGACTGCTCCACATCACTTCCCTATTTCTGCGGAGTCGATGGCAACAGTAATTATTCATTTATATATTTTTTATTTTTTATTCATTATTCTATTTATATTATCTTATTATTTTTATTTTGTATACATCATAATTAGTAATTATTTAAATGATTCAACGGCCGGTTGCAGAATTTCAATGCCCGGATGGCTGGGTGTACTCACCGGATACGGACTTTTGCTATTATTTACAGGTATTTACTGGCAACTAAAATGTCTTAAAAAATTCTAGAATTTCACGACGCCCGACTCGATCCATTGGCAACTCTACAATTGGACGACGGCCGAGCTGAATTGCCAAAAAATGGGCTCCCATCTCGCGTCGATCCACTCGAAAGCCGAGAATAACTTTATTTTTAGTGGGTTTATTTTTGGGTTCAGTCGGAATTTTACCGCGACACGCACCGCAGGCGTCATTTCGGCTGCTTTACAGCGTCGTAATCGATACGCAACGGAACGATCTGAACGCGTTACGTGTTGGAACCCAAACATGGCTAGTTCTGGACCAAAACCTTAAGTTCTTAATAAGTTTTCTCAGTTTTTAGCAGACATGGCAATCGGCCGGGCCGCGCGGCTTTTTTGGACCGCAAAAATTAGCATGCGGCCGGGCCGCGCGGCTTGGCCGCTGTTTTTTCCGTTTTGATGCCGCACGGCGGCCAAGCCGCGCGGCTTTTGAGGCCGCATCCAAATGAGTTTTGAGTACTTCCGGTACGTAAATCGGAGATGCAATGCGTATTTAGCCTGCTAGCGAGGAATAGCCATACTCGACAACCTTAATTTTCTCATTTCCATTCCCATTTTGCATAAAATTCGCGGTTTTTTGATATGTAAATGAGTCACTTCCGGTTTGCGGCTCGGCCGCGAGGCCGCATTTCCGGAAGTAACTAATGACGGCGGCTCGTAGGGGGCCGCGTTTTTTATGGAAATTAGGCCGCCGGCCGGGCCGCGCGGCTCGGCCGATCGGAATTGCCATGTCTGGTTTTTAGATAGCTTTTGCACTTGAAATACCCTTACATTTACTGAAAAATTATTAAATTACTTGCTAGATACCTTCCATAGGCTAAAAGGAAAAGTTTCCCCCTGAACACGCGAAAGAACCGACACTTTCAGACCTGATCTACTATCGCGGGCCGACTTCATCGAACGCCTCGCCCAACAACTGTGATTATTCAAGGGCGTGGATCGGGCTGTATGGCAATGCACAAATCGGTAATAGCAATCTGTGGTCGGACGGGACGTTCATCGATTTCCGCGATCCAAGCACGTCAGCTATAACGTCGGCACAGTATTGGGCGGTTAGTTTTGCGTTTTATAGAACAGGATCTCGACTTTCCATGAATCTACAGGGTTTTAAAGTATACCAAAATCTTCGCCAGATCTGTGCGAACATTTTGATGTACTTTACAACCCTGTAGGTTCTTAGGGACCCTAGATACAGTAGTTAAGTTTTGGCTCTTGGAGAGACGAAGTGCTCCACCGGGCTCCTACCTCCACCCCGAAACCCACAAGCCGGAAGCCCAAAAAATTACGAGGATTTCTTTTTAATTTTGCAGGCCCACTCCGGCGCTTGCCTCAGCTACTCCCACTGGGACTCGTTCGCCTCGGATGCGCCGCCGAACGCCTCGCGCTACGTGTGCAAAAAGGACAGCCTCTATCGCTCGGGGCGGGCTTGAAGCCCAAGTTTTCCTTGAATAAAACTTATGAATTTGGAATGTGCTAACATAGTAAGACAGCGGCATCGCAATACGTAACGCACACGCCGTTGCTTGTCGACAAAATTTCGTACTCCATTGCGCGTCCTTCAAAAATCTAATCCCGTTATGCGACGCGACGGAGCTGGGCGCGTTGCGTTTCGCAGACCCAGAAAAAAAGATGAATAATGCATGGCCCACGACATCAACGAGTTCAGGTACATTCGCCGTATCTTGCTCTTCTCCCCTTTTCCTTTAAGACTGCGTGTAAAGCCTCCGCCCCGCTATCGGTGACGCCAACCCGATTTTCGGGCTTTTGATTTTGTGCAAAAGTGTGTGGGGGTGAGAGGCTAATCACCGTAATCAGTCCGTCCTAAACTCTACACAAAGTCCGGAAATAATTCCGGAAATCGCCCCCGATTTCCTGAAAAATATCACCCAAAAAAGGGGACCAATCTACAACAGCTTTTCGTTGAGCCGATGATTAAAAGGGGCCGCCATTCTGTGGCCGTTTTTGATAAGCATTAGGTTGGAGTAGCGGGTAAGAAGGAGACGAGCAACATGTTGCTCTCTCTCGCTCTCTTTTTCTCTCTATTCTCTGGCCTTTCGGCTTTTGCCTGTCCAAACGGTACCATATCAATCCCAGGGCAACATCTCTGCGTGGCACCTATTCGGCAAGGTAAGAGTTTTCGTAACTTTTTTGTTTTTTACTTGTTTTGTGTTTTTTCCATAAATGCCTAGTTTAAAAGAAAGTGTTTCAATAGCGATTTTCCTAACCCCTAAACTACAAAAACTACCTAAACAACACATATGAAAATGATGAAAAAGACTAAATTTTGATTAAAAAAATCGGGCTTTTTTGGTCGAAAAATCCATGTTTTTGTATTTTTTAATAAAAAATTGTAAATTTTTACGTATAGGAACCGTAAAAACACCGTTTACTTCCAGTTGTTAGATTTGAAAAATGACATCTTTAGAAAAATTGTTGGTCCCCCCCCCCGATAATGCGAAAGAACCTTTTCCCTTACTTTAAGAGAATTGTATTAATTTTGCTACCTATTGCTATATCGAACAAAATCTATATAACCATACCTTGCCCGTCCGCTTAAACCCCATAAATTCCAGCCGACGACTACTCGAACGCAATCCGACAATGCAATGGACTTGGCGGAGACGTGGTCCAAGTCAGCAATGTTCTCGAAAATGCGATTCTTTTCGGGTTAATAGGTTCCGGTAAGCAATTTATGGTTTTCATATGCAAAATTATAGACTTTAGCGGTTCGTCGGCATTTATCGGTGTCGAAAAGTCGGCCACGGGAACCTGGGTCTATTCGGATGGTAGCGCACTGAATTACACGAATTGGGCACCAGGTAAATTATTCTCTGCCTGCCTTACCAAGCCCTTTAAAAATATTTGAAATCGTTTAATTTTTAGAGATACAAAATTTGTTTCCACCCCCTTATTTCTCCCCCACCGTTAAGCAACCTATACGGCATCTCCATCTACTCTCCGTTCAGGCCAACCCGCAAATGGCGATTGTGCAGCCATCGGGCCCGACACGAACAAGTGGCATTCGGTGGCCTGCGAGACGGCGTTGCCCTATTTCTGCGGACTTGACGGGGATGGTGAGATCGAGTAGTGCCATGATGATCATCTACCGTTTAGCCCGCCAGTGCCCAAGCGGTTGGGTGTATTTGCCGGAGACTGACCACTGCTATTTCTTGCAGGTTCGTCAACCAAATATTTTTGGCTCTATACCATTACGGTATGAAATGGAATTTTGCATGTCGCGGACGCGGCAAAACCTATGAACAATTCATCCTCACTCCTTTCTTCCGGTTCTAAAGGGGCGTATAAGGCATTTTCCATGGATTTTCTAGGATTTAGATCCATATGGAATCGATCGTTGAAAAGAATGAGCAGGCATGGGCGGAACGTAATCTTTTTTTCTTTCAGAATTTCACGACCCCGGATTCGGTGCATTGGCAGCTGTATAATTGGACGACGGCCGAGATGGACTGCCAGAATATGGGTGCTCATCTCGCGTCGATTCACTCAAAGTTTGAGAATGAGTTCATCTACAGTAAGTCGGTGGCTGAGATTGGTTTTAAAGGGACGGGCAATGCAAGAGAGAGAGAGAGAGACAGAGAGACCGAACGCCACATAAATAACTATTCTCAAGAATGGATCTACTACGACGGGCCGACAGTCAACGGGCCGGTGCCAAACACTTGTGACTATTCGGTGGTGTGGATCGGATTGACGGGCACGTTGGGCAGTGATTCCAAGTGGAGCGACGGCACCTTCTACGATTTCCGCGACCCGAACGCCAAACCAACCGCGCTCAAGAGTGCAAAATGGGCGGTGAGTTGCGGGAATTTATGCCTTTGCTTACGATTTTTAGACGCAAAATAGCCGATTTTTTACCAACATTTCAAAGTTTCTGGGTTTTTGAGATCGGTTTTCCACTTGCCATATATTAAAAATTTGCTAAATCCACTATGGAAGACTTACTATCATTATGG